CCATGTCTCTCACCCTCCTCCTGGGACCAGTGGGCAGTTCAGGCTTATGTCTGCTACCATCCTAGTGGCTGAAGCAAGTCATATGGCCAAGCTCACCATCAAAGGCTGAGAAATACATTCCATCCTTGGTAGGAGAGACTACAAAGCTGCACAGGTAAGGGTGTGGATACATACATACAGAAAGAAAGAATTAGAGACAATAAATACCACAGTTGCCACAATGACTAAAGAAAAAGTCAGTTAAATGGCACATTTCAAGACTATATTTACAGGCAGAATTTCTGACTGTAGAGTGGCAACCACTTACCTGTTCTACAACTCTGTATGTAGCCAAGTGTCCAGTCTCACGGGTAATTCGCATCTGTAGGTTATCTCCCACAAGGCAATAGATTTGGGGTTGGCTTTTCTTGGCCCTCCTGCCCTTGGAACACCAAAATCATTTCCAAAACAAGTAATGAGAGGTTTGGGAAGGGCAAGGAAGGGTTGAATAGGTGAAGCCTAGGTGATGTTTTCGGGTGGTGAAACTATTCTGTATGATACTGTAATGACACTATGCTTTTGTTGAAGTTCATAAAACTTAACAGAACCAAGAGTAAATTTTCTAAACATTAAAAAATCATTTAAGAGGGAAGTCAGGGATCCCATTTGGGACTCCCAGAGTGTGGAGCCTGCTCCTTTTGGAGACAGGTGTTAAGCTTAAGATGTATCTACAATGTGGTGTGCGGTGGCTGAGAAATCTAGTCCTTGACAAAGCTTTATCAGCACAGTTTGAAGAGGAGGATCAGCATTCAGCCAAGCCATGGTCATGGGTGATCCACACCTTGAATCAACAGAAATGTATTAAGTAATCTGGAGCACAGAAACAAAAAGAAGAGTCTATGCTATGAGGAATCAGTGGCACTCAGGCCATGCATGACCTGAGCCCTGCCCCCTCAGCCTCCTTTTCTATGACTGTCCCTCTGCACCCTGTGCCCAACCAACTCCCCATACTTTAGTCACTCTGCATTCTGCCAGTTTCTAGGACACTTCAAGGTTTTTCCTATCTTCATCTCCTTGCCTTGCTGTTTCCCAAGCCTGGAAAGCTATTGCCTCATCTCTTCACCTTGCTTGCTATTTCTCCTCTTTTTAAAGATTTATTATTTTAGAGAGATAGAGATTGGGGCAGGAGCAGAGGGACAAAGAGAGAATCTCAGGCAGACTCTGCAACGAGCACAGAGCCCAGTGTGGGGCTTGATCTCACATTCCTGAGATCCTAACCTGAGCGGAAATCAAGAGTCTGACACTTCATCAACTGAGGCAACCAGGTGCCTCACTTTTTCTCCTCTTAAAGGCTCAGCATAAATGATCCTTCCTCATCGAAGCCTCTCACTCTTCTCTATCACAGCACAATTTATATTGTGTGTAGCATTTATATTCCAGAATTATAATGTTCATTTTTACTTGTTTATGATCTGTCCCTCCCTCTATAATGTATGCGCCATATCTTTCTTTTCATCACTAATGTATTCCTATTACCTAAAGCACTGCTTGGCATATAATAGATGTTCAAAAAATATTAACTGAAGTGGCCACCCGTTGTTTAGTATTTGACTCAAGATCCCAATGGAGTGTGGGCCATGCCTTGGACTGAGTGTCATGAGGATAGTAGGGAAGTCCCACATTGCACACCCTAAACTAAGTGAGAACCTCTAAAGAGCTTCAGACACACTCTAATGCCTCACTACAACCAAACTGCACACTACTGAGAGGGGCCTAGGCTATCCCTATGTATGAAGCCCCAAATTCTTCAGAGATTTGGGGTAGGTATATATCTTTATTTTCCTTGAACCCTATGCCATGATAGAGCAGTAGGCACAGAGCCATGGGAGAAGCACCATGGAGCCAATGGCTAGGATCTGAGACTTCAAGTTTCTCAGATAGGCCCTAGATGGATAGATATGGGATTATGCCTTCTAGAATGGCCATACCTGTCCCCTTGCTGCTTATGGTTCTTAGACAAGCTGCCCAAGCCTGATAACATATAAAACCTGGAAGGGTTTGCAGCAGTGGGATAAATTTTTCCCAGCCTGTGCAGGTGAGAAAGAGCTGTCTATCCCCTTCTTGGAGGAGCCCAGAGGGAGCAGGGGACACTTGTGTGCACGTCAGCAGCAAGTGAACCCCATCTCTGTTAGCCCCTTCACAGCTCATGCAGGAATCATACATTGACCAGCCTTCCCATTGACCAGCTCATTTTTCTTGGCTAAGAGGCCTCAGTGGACTGACCTAACCTGAGGGTACAGACAACCCATGATATCCATATGTTAAGGGAGAAGACCAGACCCAATGATTAGAAAAGGTTGTTCCAGTGAATACAGAGTCAATGGAGAAGGGGAGGATAATTTTAACAAAACAGAAGTAAATTCTCAAGGAAATTCAATCATAGAGGGAAAAAAGGACTTTCTAAGATTTATGATAAAATAAAATTTGATGCCTCGATATTAAAATAGGATAAACAGACCATTTATTGCTAAGAACCAAACTGATATTCTGAGTGGACAAAAGGAAGAAATATACAACAGAGTCAAAACATTTTTTTTTTGAGTCAAAACATTTTTTAAAATGGAAACTATATACAAAAAGTAAAAGAGACTCCAAGAACAGATCCAGGAGGCCTCTGCTGCAAATATTATATTCAGAAGGAGAAAAAGTCTCATAGAGAGTAACATAGTGAAGAAAGGCCATAATAAAAAATATGAAATAAAAGAAATTACCTGACGTTAAAGAAAATGAAACAGCATAGCCTCGAAAAGTTACTGAAATATTCCAAAGGTAAAGAAACAATCTTATAAGCTTCCAGAAAAGCAAAACCAAAAACTCAGATCACTTATGGCAGTAATTGAACCAGACTAATATCTGACTTACAAATTATACTCTCAACCAAAAGACAATGGAATGACTGTGGACTATTGAGAAAATCAAAGTTCCAAGAATTCTACACACACACAAGATATCATTTAATGCAAAAGAATGACATTTGGGGACAAGTAAGGATTCAATGTGTTGCCACCCTTGCAACCCATGTGAGGAAATACATAGAAACTATTCTATCCAAATAAAAGTCAGATCATGGATCTGATCATTTGGGAAAACAAGAAATGCATGAACAAGTGATAGTTAAGTATAAGTGGATGATACTAACATAAATATGTGACCCAAAGTTTATATCTTAAGTCTTCTTTAAATAGGACAAGAAATTGTAAGGAAATCCCTAAGAAAAGCTTGAAGCAAAAATTTCCAAACTATCTGAGCCATGAAGTGAGTATGAATGTTATGTGTCCATGAGTGTGCAGGGATGGAGTAGGATGTACAATATGGGATGGAAAATTAAAGATCTCCTCTCAGCAAAGAAGGGAGGGACTATGAAGGTAAATATACTGGAAGCATAGGAATTGTGTAATCTTTATATATTAATAGAAAAATCCAAATTTAGCAATGGTCATGTGTGATTTTTTAAAAATTGCTAGTATAGAAATAGAATAATTTAAAAATTGACAGTGTAAGGGCCATCTCAGTGGCTTAGTCAGCTATGCATCTAACTCTTGATTTTGGCTCAGGTCATGATCTCAGGGTCATGTAATTGAGCCCCAAGTTGGGCTCTACACTCAGCAGGGAGTTTGTTTGAGATTCTCTCCCTCTGTCCCTCCCCCCACTCACATCCTTGTGCTTGCTGTCTCTCTCTCTCTCAAAAATAATTTAACAGTGTAAGAAAAAATAAGGAAAATTAGGAAAGAGTAAAAAGAACAACAAAGAATAACCAAAAAATGTAAATCATAAAAACAAGTATGCCAAGCACTGTAATTATTGAGTACAGGCTAAATTCTCATATCAGTTATAATATAAAACCCAAAAATAATGTATTTCTGGAAGCACAATGAAAGAAAGTTACAAAAAAAGATTGGAAATTAAGGGAAGGCAAATATATACCAAGGAAAGGTAAGGAGGAGCACCTAGGTGGCTCAGTGGTTGAGCATCTGCCTTTTGCTCAGATCATCATCCTGGGGACCTAGGATCAAGTTCCACATTAGGCTCGCCATAGGGATCCTGCTTCTCCCTCTGCCTATGTCTCTGCCTCTCTCTGTGTCTCTTATTTATTTATGAATAAATAAATAAAATATTTTTAATAAAGAAAAGGTAAAGAAAAAAACTCAGTATGAATGGCAACCTTAAAATCAGTTAAAACGTAATTCTTGGTCAAAATTATTAATGAAGCCAGAGAGAAATAGCATGTAATGAGGAAAAATTAATCAGTGAAAAAGCTCTATGCGAATCATAAACATTGATAAACATAGCAGCTATATATATTATATATATATTTACATATATGGATATAAATATATACATAATATATATTGTATAAATACATATGAAATCCTCAAAATACAGAAAAAAATGGTGAAAACATTTTTACTGTGGGATGTTTTTAATATTATACTTTCAGAATTTGACAGTTCAAGTATACAATTAAAGTGAAGTATCATATAAGAGATTTGAGAAATACCATAAACTATATATTTTTTTCGCTTCTTGTATTCATGTAATATACAAATTAATCACACACTTGCATAAAAGAAAACTTTGCTAAATATCCCAAAACAAAGATTTGTTTTAAAACTTTTGAACAGAAGCTCAATAATAAAAAGTTCTTTAAAAATCTTCTAATTATTGGAAAATTAAGAAGTCTCTTCCACATAATTTCTGGGTCAAAGAAGAAATCAATATTGAAACTATAAATCAAGTATCCAGAGAATAGGAAAAAACATTATAGCAAAGCCTATTGGATACATTGGGGGTGTGGGGGGAAGGATTTATGGCCTTAAATGATTTTATTGTTTAAAAACACAATAAAGCAAAACAAGATTAAACAAACCCAGGAATAGATTATTTGGAACAATTTAGATCTTTTTTTTTTCATTATTGAGAAAATGATCCAGTGCTTTCACCGATTTTCAATTTTCTTCATTTCAACAGTTTCCTTTAATTTTCTGCTCCAAACCAAAGTCACAGTGAGAGCGGATAAAGCGATCAAGAATTTGTCTGTCTGAAAAACAGGATGAAATTTTCCATTTAACTATCTAAGTACTAAATAGAGAAATTCTAGAAAGGAGGCAAGTATCAGATAATAGTACTCTATATACAAATTTGATGAGACAAAAATAATCAATGGGCATATGTCTAACACATAAAATGCACAATTGTGTAATTATTGATTTAAAAGAGTAAACTTAGTATTCAAAGGATCGGCAGGGCTTCTTGGAAAGAGCAGAGCATTTTGAATGAAACTGACTTAGCTTTTCCATTCTGCACTGGCAAGCTTTAGCAAGTCATGTGACCTCTCCATTTCTTCATTTCCTCTTCTTTGAATATATTCAAGAGGACTTACCTTGCACACCTACTGGACTGGATTAGGAATGCTATGTGTTAAGCACCTAGATAGGACCTGGTCCATAAGAGACAATAAATAGGACAGCATTACCCTTTATTATTGAGAACACAGTCATAGTGATGACAAAAAAACAACACAGGCTATCTTTCCCAGGGCTTCATCGAGCTGGCGCTGTTTTGCTGCTCACCAATGTTGGTGTGCTTTGCTATCTTTGACTGATAACTGACCATAAGAGGGCCCTTCAACTCCCTGGCCTCCATTTCCTCATCTGGAAAGTAAAGGAATCTTGTCTGGTTCTGAATATCTACAGGTCCCTGATTCTCATGACATATATGTACTAACATTACAGAGTAAAGCTGTAGAATTTTTCTCACTCCTAGAATTGTCATCTGTGCAGCAAAAACCAAAAGAGAAGAAGAATGCAAGTGGTACCTTGTTATCATGTTCAATGTCTGTGTTACCATACTCAGTGTTACAAATGTCAGCTGAGGTCTAAAGATCAGGAGTGTGTGTGTGTGTGTGTGTGTGTGGTCTTGGTTTACTCTCCAGTCCTTCGTGGTTCTTTGTTTTTGTGACCTAACATCCCCACCCTACTCTATATCTTTTTTAACCTCCGCATTTTTAAAAATTGAGGTATATTTTTCATGAAGTGAAACACACTGATCTTTCATGTGCAGTTCAATGAGTTACACTTGCATGCGTGTAACCCATACCCATATAATAAGATCACTGCCACCACTCCAGAAAAACCTATCCTGCTCCTTCCCAGTCAACATCTCCTACCTCAAGAAAGTCAGTGTTCTGATTCCCTTCATCACAGAGATGTGTTGCTTGTTGTAGCCCTTTGAATAAATGCAACCACACAAAATGTAAGATTTTATGTCTGGCTTCTTACACTTAGCATGTTTTTGAAGTTCATGTTGTTGAATGCAACAATAGCTGGTTCTTTTTTATTACCTAGTAGTATTTCATTTTGTGAATAAACCAGGTTGTTTATATTCTGCTGGTGGTCGAAAGTCAGGTAGTATCCAGTTTGGGACTCCTAAGAAAACAATGGCTGTGGACATTTTTGTATAAGTCCTTCAGTGGACACAGGTTTTCTTTTCTCCTGGGTAAATACCCAGAAATAGAATTTCTGGGTCATGGAATAGGTATAGGTTTAACTTTATGGGAAACTGCCAGAAATGTTACAGTGATACTACTACTATTTGATACGCCTACCAGCAACATATTGTTTCATATTCTCAACATTTAAATCTTACAACAAAGAGTTAATTTTAAATAAGCAAGTAAACAAATTTAAAAAATCCTTCTTATGCCAAAGATAAGCATACAAGATGAATCAAGTTCCCCACAAATGAATAAAAAAGATGAGATTGTATCAAATTTAATATCAACTGAAATAACTGTTCAAAAAGGCTACCAGTTGCCATTCAAATGCTCCTTGTATTTATTATGTGTAGATGCAGATTCACGTCCCAGTGATTTTGTTTATGCTGTTCCCTTTGCTCCCTCTAAATGGCCCTGCTTCTCCTGTCATGCTGAATCATCCTCAACCCCTAAAAGAAACCTCTAAGCAGTCTTCCTTAATGTCCTGTCAATCCACAGGACTGGGAGTACCCCTTGCAGGCTTCTAATATACCCAAAGAATACTTGGATTATGGAGCCTATGACATTATACCTATGTGTCTCTCCCACACCTGACAATGAGTTCTTTGAAAAGAAGGATTTGTGTTTTATTTATCTTTGTATCAAGTGAGCATTACAGGTATTCAATCAATGAAGTTTCTTGAGCCAGTGAACATATATATCCTTAACAACACTGAATCATACCCTAGGAAGAAATACCCTTGGATAGTCATATCCATGGGAGTTTTGACTGGAAGAATTGGGGAGGGAGTAATAGCTGAAAGATTCTGAAAACCAGGTTTCAGGTAATTTTGTCTTTTAAGGGAGGAATAAGTAGGGAGATGACAGTCTATAGCAATAGATAACAGAGGCACAAAGAGTAAGCTGTTGGTTGGACTGAATCACTCAGAGATTAAAACAGTTACAAAAACAGAATGGCCACCAAAAACATTTAGTTCAAATCCCTCACGTTATAATAGAGGAACTCAATACCAAATAGTGATACGCAGAATTATTAGAAACAAAAGGTTTGTCTTCAGTTGCTCCTCCTTTCTTACTTCCCCAGCTTCATTTTGTCTTCCCGGAGTCTTCTCTATCCCACATCACTCCACCATCTCCCTAGCCGTCTGGCTCAGGCCATGATGTTCGTCTTTCCCCTTCCTCTCTCTCTTTCAAAATGTACCTGTTCTGGTCCCCAGGACTGTCTAAGATGGATAACCTAGTAAAATACTTTAAGCAAGATGGTCATAATTCATTCAGCCTAGTATATCTGCCAAGTTTTTTATTCTCTTGCATACTGTCTCAGCCCTACCACAAATGAGCTCTGCTGAAGCACTCGCCGTCTGAAAAGTATTAGTGTCATCCCAAACACTAATGACAATTAAATGACAAGAAAATGACAAGAGTTTTTGGACATAAGAATTCAAAGGGTATCTCCTACTTGCTTGTCAGACTCTAGCATAGCTGGCTGATGCTTAGGTCATTCTAAAGCAAAACTAGGAAAAAGAAACTAAAACCCATAATAAGCAGATCCTACAAACACCCAAGTCAGTGCAAAATGGCAAAGCTCTGGAGCCTGAGCATCCAGGTACCTGCCCCCAGTGCCATCCTGAGTTCACCAGAAAAGCAGGATACCTGAAAAGCAACCAAGTCCTAGATTGGCTTTAAAGATACCTTGTTGGTAACAGATCAAGTCTCACTTGTTTGAGGATAAAACCCAGTTGGAAAAACCCAATTGAATCAGTTTATGCTAGGAATCTTGGAGAAGGTAGATCTGAGTCGAGCAGAGGCTGTCAAAGCACCTGCAGAGTCCTTAGTTCACCCTTGAAAGAAACCACTAAGGCTCAATTACAAATCACACACACACACACACACACACACACACACACACACACAATACAGAAAAGAGGTGCCAGCAGCCACCATGGTTTTTCCAGGCAGGCAGAGAAGCAGCAACTCTGCCTATATTTCCAGTCCCTGGGCAGATGGGAGCACCTGCTTTGGGAGCACTCTGTAGAGTCAAACAGATGTGGCTCTAAAGGTAAAAATGCAGACTATGGTTTTATATATATGAACCCAAGCTGGGAAAAAGAATTGAATGCAGGCTGCAGCTTGATGGGTAGCTTCTGCTCTGCCTCCCTGAAAGATCTGAGCTGCCAACCTCAAGGAGCCTCTTGGTTTTCTTCGGAAGTATCAAACTGGCCCAGAAGCATCTGTCAAGAGGAATGAGGTACTCTCCCAATGGCAAATACGGCTTCTGCTTGTTCTTTAGATCGAGGTAACACACCTGCTTCTGGTACTTTGTGAAACCCAACATTCAAGCTCTTTTAAGGGCCTTTGGGCCATTAACCTTCAGTCTGTAATAATGGAAAGTATCCTCTTTCCTTCCTTGCACACACATACACACAACATGCACACCCCCTTTCCAGTCTCGCCCACAGTAGGGTTTCAGTTTTGTGTGGGGCACAGATCCTAGCATAAAAGAGTTTCAGTGAGGATTTCAGAGGGTCAAGCTCTTCTCATTGTAGCTGGGGACAGATAAAGGAAAGAGATGGGGGACCAAACGCAGGGAGGAGGCAGGCATCAGTTGGAGGGTTACCAAGCAGCTGGTGGAAGTTCTAAATTAAGCCTGACCACAGGGCACAAAACAAGGCAGTGATCACCACATAGCCCACAGCCCCAAGTGGCATGTAGAAGATGATCCATTGTGTGCATATTTATGTTATATAGGATTATATTGTATCACTTTTTAGTTTATTTGGCATTTAGTATGTTTTATAACTTACATAATACATTAGCTTAGTGGAGTATGAATATACTTTATAGAAATAAATATGTCTGCATTGAGGCATGTGCTAAAAAATGCAGAGCAATGGAGTGTGATGACTAGCAATGGATGCTGAGGGCAGCCATTGGAAGAATTTAGTACCCTCTCTTCCAACTTCTATTCTCTGAGTTGACATTTTACACATATACAGACTGACCAGTTGCCCCTGAGATGCTCCCAAGCAGATAACAGTCCCTGAGCCCAGCGCTGGGATAAGTCTTTGTTAAACAGACTGAACTAACACTGTCCTGAGAATGGAGGATATTATACACAGAGATTCTCATGTACCTAAAAAGCCTGTCACAAAAAGTATCATCAAACAGGAAATAAAGATTATGTAAGATAAAACTGTGAAGAAGTCACTTAACGGCAATAAATATTGAAGTCATCCCAGAGCAATTCAACCATGGTCTGAATGAGTGAAAAGCTAGATGTTTCTTTTTTAATAAGTGGGGATACAGTCACTAGTGCGGCCTCTTTTAGGAAAAATTTATTTTCATTGGGGTTGAGGTGGGGATACAGTCACTAGTGCGGCCTCTTTTAGGAAAAATTTATTTTCATTGGGGTTGAGGTTTGCCCAAAACTATGGCATTTCTTTGAGGCAATGTTTATCTTTTTTTGTGAACATTTATTTTTTTTTAAGATTTGGCTTATTTATTCATGAGAGACAGAGAGAGAGAGGCAGAGACACAAACAGAGGGAGAAGCAGGCTCCATGCAGGGAGCCTGATGTGGGACTTGATCCTGGGTCTCCAGGATCAGGCCCTGGGCTGAAGATGGCGCTAAACCGCTGAGCCAGCTGGGCTGGCCTTTTGTGAACATTTAACTCCAGTGGCTAAAAGTTGGAACATTTTCTATTTGGCATAAAGCAATGTGTTATGATCTGTAAATTCATTCAATAGTGTCTCAAAGCCTCCTCTTACCTTTGTAGGAAACATTCTGAAGGTACTCTGTGACTTGAGAAGGCGTAAATGAGTTTAAAATCATTAAGAAATCCAGGTAGGCTTTCCCGTAATCACTTTGGTAGATAGTCTGCTTCTTTGTACGCTCTTGATTCCTCATGTGGCTGAACAGCACGGAAGGGACTAGGAGGGACAGAAGAGAAGGAAAGACATGGAGGCTCTTGCTGAGCAAAGAATTCCTGCCCTTCTTTGTCAAACAAGCCCCCAACAGCCCTGAGCCCAACTTGGAGCTTAGTCAGGATCCTGAAGGTATTAGAAAGTGAGACACTGTAGGAGTGACTCCTCCTATGATTCGGGCTATGCAGAGCTGCTGGGACTCAGGACTGTAGTTGCTAGCAGTGGGGGTGGTTGGGGTTGATGACCAGAAACTCAGGTTTGACTATCATTTTCAGAAAAGTTCTCCCTGAAATTGACTCTTCTACAGGTCAGCATGTTGGGATGGTAGCAGTCACTATCTCCTTAGTAAACAAATGCCTTCATAGAAGCTTCTTTCCCTTTTGTGCAATCTCCTGTGCAGACGTGGGCTCACACACTAAGAGCAGTCCCTTAGGGATCCAGATGTGTTCCGATGAGCAGTGATGATATGTCCAGCCAGCATTTATTACATATTCAGGCTAATAGAATTATCAGGTGCAAGCAAAACCAAAATCATTTATGTCTGATTCTGAGTATTGTTCATTTAATGTGGGTTCTGATAGTGATGGAATTATCATGACAAAAAAAAAAGCAATGAAAATATGATGTGAGAACCTAATTTCAAAAACATGCCCAAACTTTGTAAATCTTAAGGACATCTTAAATACTACTTTCAGCCCCAGGTGTCTCCTTTACAGGGACCACTGGCCAGTGGGAAGAAGAAGGCTGAGGAGGGGATTTTTTTTTTTTATGATAGTCACACAGAGAGAGAGAGAGAGAGAGAGAGAGAGAGAGAGGCAGAGACACAGGCAGAGGGAGAAGCAGGCTCCATGCACCGGGAGCCCGACGTGGGATTCGATCCCGGGTCTCCAGGATCGCGCCCTGGGCCAAAGGCAGGCGCCAAACCACTGCGCCACCCAGGGATCCCTGACGAGGGGATTTTGATGCTACACCTGAGAATAGTGTTATTATAAGGTCTGGAAATGCATTAAGCAGAGAATATGGAAAGTATATAGTAAAATTTTTGTATATAGTAAGAATAATTTATATTAGTTAACCTCTGTAGGAAGAAGTAGAACCAAAGCCAAAGTTTAGCAAGGAAGGTTCTAGCTGTTGGGAACTTTCAAACAGTATCTAAGAATGAAAAAGCTGCCTTGGGGTGATGCACTGCCCCAAAGAGTGATGACATCATCCCTTAGCAAAGGGAATGGGATAGAGGGGATTCCCACATGGTATGAGGATCTAGATGAGGTAACTTCTAGACTGTCTTCTAACCTCTAGATGCTAAGCTTCTATCCTGTGGTTTGTTTTTTTCACTACAGCATTACTCGATTCCAACTCCTTGCCAGGAATCTATCACTAATCCCAGACTGATACTAAATTATATTCTTGACCAGTAGCTTCAAGGTGGCTTGGTCACAAAACTTTTAAAAACCTTTCTGTGAAAGCAACAGGAATCAGGATCATAAAAGAACACTTGAATAGAATGGTTGTCAAATCTGAAGATGCTTACCATGCGGTTAAGTTCCAGTGGATAATTGACAACTCTAATTTGAGTCCTACCCAGTCTCTTTTTTTTTTGTCAATTTATAGCAACTAAATCCTTCCTTTTTGTTTTATAAGGGGGAAGCATCTTCTAATCCCAACAACTGCTCCTCCCTGACCCCACCCTCAGAAAGAGCAGGTATTCATTTCATAGGGATAAACAATCAGTTCTTTTCAAAGACTTACTCATTCCCTGGGTTTGAAGCTAGGCATAGTTTTGATTCCTTGCAGGGATGCAGGGATCACTGGCATTCTTCATGATTGTTACCAAGATTACCTGCAAGGGCCCTGTGTGCCAAAGAATCTTAGAACAAGGACAGAATCTATGGTATCACTTTAAAAGCTACAGGTGTACTTACCTAGACCCTGAGAAGCAACTGGTAGGCTTGAGTAGCATCCGTATTTGAAACTAAAATCCCGTAGCTCAGGAATTTTAGCTGGAACTTGGTAATTCCTTCGAAATTCAGTGTCTGCAGGTCGAGGAAGTAACTTTTTCCGTTCCAGAGGCACCTGAGAACTTTCCTTAATCTTCTGAGCTGGGGTGGGGGTACAAATGCAGAAGTTCTTGTAAGCTATTTAAAATAGCATCGTACTTTCATTCCATTTTGCTTCTGGCAGTAGAATCCAATTTATCACACTAAACCTGCTCTTCTTGTGTTAAGAGGTACAATCAATGTAGTTTTTATGGATATTTCAACCAAGAAATAATTTTCTGCTTTATCAGGCACAGGAAATATATGCTCTAATGATTAGAAGCAGCTTCTAATGAAGATATTGTATGTCAGTTTGGAGTACTGTTTTGCTCTGCTGGGTAGACACAGAGGCATTCCTCATTCCAGTAGGCCTGCCTACTACCTAGGACAGAGGTGGGGAGCAGAGTGAGAGATTTTTAGGTAAGGCCAGGGTTGACATATAAAACATAAGATACCAGTTAAATTTGAATTTCAGATAAATAATGAATAATTTCTTAGTTTAAGTGTATATAAGTGCTCATTGTTTATCTACTCTATATCTTTAGTCAAATTTAACAGATCATCCTATGTTTTATGTTTGTTAAATCTGGTAGCCCCAGATGGGCAGTACATATCATTCCTATTACCTGGAAAAGAACCACTTGAAGCTTATCCCTTACCGATGAAGGGGTAAGTAACATTGTCCTCATTGGTGGACAATAGCATTATCATTTCTTTGAAATCACTCTGCTAACAAATATTAATTAAACAAAAAATCATTAAATAGCTATGAAGCACTAAATGTCAGGTTCCACAAGCACTACCAGATTATAGAGGAGTCACATGCCATCTCCCTTAGAATGACTTCATCCTTAATTCTTGCTACTAAGTGTTGGTTCAGAGGCACATTATGTAACACCAACTTTATTCAGAACAAAAATGTTAAGACCATGGATATCATGCACAGTATGCAAATAGTGCCAATTACTATTAAAACTAAACTCAAATCTTGTTCTGAATTCATTTTTCAATAGGTCTTTTCAAAATAAATTCAGATATGTATCAAACAATATGTGACATCATCTACTGGCATCCAAGAGCATTTTAATATTGATTTTTAAAAGATGATCTCTGTCTAGACCAACACAGTGAGAGAAAGTTTCACTATATGCTGCCTCTTTATTTGGATGACTCAGGAAAAGAGGAAGTGGGTACTCAAAGGGCCTTATAATGACCTCATAAACTGCCCAAGGAGAAGACAAGGTTATAGAGAAGAGGCAACTCTGTGGCTTGAAATTAGGACATTTCTTAAGATTTTAAAAAAAAAAGATATTTTGGAAAATCATCTGGTATTGTTCCTGGTAAGCACCATCTATAACTTGGCTTTTTGTAAATTACTAATAGCTTTATAGGAAGAAAACAAATTCCTGTTGAAGTACGTGCTACATATGCTTATCCTTCTTCCCTAGAGCTACCACTCATTAGCAAATGTCTTCAGTTCCTAATTGTGCTCTGTGCCAAAATTAAAAATAATGTAGTCACTGTTCTACCTTGAGACAACCTCAAACTAGTGTGATTAGAAAGATATACACAGAAGAAACAGACATGGAATGTGATGTCTTATACTTGGAACCATGGTTCTCATGTGGAGATAATACATCAGACTTACCTGGGAAGGTTTTTCCAAACCATATTTGCTGAACCTCATCCCAGACATTGAGAATCTCTAGAAGTAGGGCTGAGGCACTTAAACTGTGAACAAACTTCCTATGTGCTTAAGAATCACTCCCTCAGAGGCTTTGATAGGTGCTATAGAAGCCCAGAAAGTGTACAATGAGCTCAGTTAGGGGAAGGGAAGGAAAGACAAGAATTAAAAGGATATGCTTTGATGATGGGTCAACACTAAAGCAAAAGGTACACAGTGTGTTTGTGAAGTATGGTCTGGCTGGCAGAAGTATAAGTTATGCAGGGCAGGGAGAAATAGCTGAGGGTAAAGCAGAAGAGGTGAGGAACCAGTTGGCAAAGGGTCCTGAGGGGCTAGTTCACATAGACCATAATGAATCAGTACAGTGGAGCAATTGGGGATGAAGACCCAGAAAAGGCAAAAATCGGGGCCTAGACCTACTGAGTTCCTTTGAAGATAAAGATTAAGCCTTACTCTTCATTGATACCTTAGCACTTATCACAGTAACAGACTTCATTAAATGTTTATTAAATTAATGAGGGAATGAAAGAAAAAATCAGAAACAATCTGAACCACATGCTAGTGACTACGTGATATATGCTTACAGTAATCTGTAGTTCTTCTCAACTAATGCATATATTGCCTTTATAAAATTTCATGTTAATGAGTTTCTTCAGCATTATTAAGAAGAGAAATTCTTTATACAAAGGGACCCAACAACCCCTGAAGTCCCCATAGTGGTATCGAAGTTTGGACAGGCGTATAACCATGACTCAGAGCTAACCAGACCCAATACTAATCACACCTCCAGGCCCTGGACTCTTCCCAGGGAGCCATCCCTGTTCCTCAGGAGCTCAGCTCCCACTGTTTCTTTTCCTCTTGAACAGTGATACTACACTAATGTAGCTATAGCCCAAAGAGAGAAACTGGCCCATTGAAGATTAGTATGGCATTTGCAGAAAGACCTAATTCAAAAGTATATCTGCAGCAAGGACTATTCAAAACCACTGGGACTACTGAGAACTAGTTCTGCTGTCTTTGTCTGCTGTTCCAATTCATCAGAGCCAAATTCTCCAAGCCTGAATGTGAAAACAAACACCTTTTAGTGCTTTTCACTCATTTGCCTTAATACAATAATGAAGATACAAAGATAAGATATGGCCTCTGCGTTTCAGAAGCTTAAAGCTTTAGAGAAACAGATACAAAAAATGATAATTACAATATTAGGTGATAAACACTGCAAAAGAGATAAGAATAAGATCTATAAAAACATATGAAAGGGCCACCAATCCAAACTGGGGGATCAGAGAAGACTCCCAGGAGAGAAATGAAGTTAATGGATAGACACAGGCTAGAAGAAGGGAGGGACAGGTGTTCCACAGGAAGGAAGCAATGTGTGCAAAAGGCACAAGGCTGCTGGGGGCATGGTGAGTCTGAGGAAGGAAGGCAGTCGGTGTCACAGAGAGCGTGGAGAGTGGTGAGGGAGAATGCTGGTACAGTGGGAAGGGACCAGATTGTACAGGCTCACATTGCGGCATTTAGCTTCTATCCTGTGGACAATAGGGAGTCACTGAAGGGTTTTCATCTGGTAGGTGACATCATTTTGCACATCTGGAAACTTGCAATGACTATAGTATGGGCTGTGGGTTGGAGGCAACAAAAGTGGAAAAAGGAGCTGGATTAGAGGTCATCTAAGGAGGAGACATGATAGCAGTGGCTTTGGGGAGGAAGAGAAGCAGATGGAGCTAAAAGATTTAGGAGAGACTCTTGGCAGGTCTTGGGTATTTATCTACACATGGGGAAATGGTAATTTGTGCACATTGAAAGGACTTTGATTAGAAGCTTGAAGACATCTTTTAAGAATGCTGACATTTCAAATGTCTTCCCATCACCCTTAATGTTTATCTGAAGTATGGAGGTCTTTTGATTCTATACTCATCTAACTTCAGAAAGTGCACTTCCCATATATTTTTTTCCATCATTCAGCAAATATTTACAGAGCATCTCCTATACACCAAGATTAGACTCTATATACTGAGCTAGATTCTGAGTGAACAAAGGCATTTGGGGAACCCGCTGAAGGGTGGAGGAGGAGCAAAACAAAAACAACAAAAAACAAGAATCAGTAAACAAATGACTGGAAAATGCAAGGTGCTAGAATGAGGTGGTGGCACAGCTCTTTAGACAAAATAGTAAGAAAAGCTCTCACAGGCAAGGTGACATTTAAGCTGGAGTCTATAGATGACACAGTAAAATCACAGAAGAAGCTTGAAGAAGAGCAATGCAGGCAAAGGGGACAGCCCTGGCTGAAGGTGGGGGAAAATTAGCATCTTATAGGAATTTTTAAAAGGCCATGTGGCTGGAACCTGATGAATGAGAGGGAGAAGGAACAGTTAGGAGGGAAGCAAAGTCCAGGCCAGCCTTGCAGGATGTGATGAACAAAGAGAAAGAACTGAAAAACTGAAACTTGGATTCAAACTGCAATGCAAACCCAGTGAAATAAAGCAATAGAATAATATGATCCAGTTTAGATTCATAAAAGATCATCTATATCATATTTGACTACTCCTTCCCCAAACTCCACTAAAATGATAGTAGATTAGAAGTTAACACATTTTTAGAAGATGGAAATCAAATACAGATGTGCCAACTGAATTAGCAAAATAGAGGAAGCTAAAACGAAATGACTGTCAAAAGGGATAACAAAACCGTGAGCTATTATACACAATAGAACCCCAATAGGTTTCTGTAACAGGTACTGGAAAAGGCAAGTACTGTAGCTCAGACTGAAAACAAGAGGCTTGGGTGAAAGCTTATATACAGAGTGGATAGAGTTTCTGCACCATCTTCTTAAGCTCATGCAGTTATTTGATTGTCCTTTCCTAACCAGAAGTTTATTAGGTACAAAACTGAACCAAAGAGGCTCTGGATGCCAGCACATTAGGCAGAGTGAAATGTGGGCATAGTGTGATGCTGAACAGAAAAAAGAGAGGGGTTCAGTGAGAATTTGCACAGCAAGCAGGAAGATCCCAGTTTCCTCCCTTATCCTGCTCTCAAAATGCCAATAGCCAAATGTTTATCTCCCTAGAGAAACTGACCTATAAATAGAAGCATTTAGGGGTTTCCTAACAAAAAGAGAGCTTATGACCTAACCACCTAAATCAAGCACCAGCTAACAAGCCCCATCTCTGTATGTAGTTTCCAATCGTATTTTAGTATCTCCCTTGTAAGTTTGTGAAACTTAGAGATTAATATTTTGCATACACTCACTTCAAGAAAAAGAAGAGTCCACGGAATGAGACAATTTTATTAGCATCATAGTAAATCTGCCTCTACTATCTTGTAAATATGAACAGAAGATCAAATTTTCATTAGACCATTAAAACTCTCAAAGAAAATGGAGACAACACAATAGATGAAAATGTTGAAGATTAGGTCTATCATAAATATACTATATTTTGTAAGAGAATTACTACATGTATAAAACAAGAACGGAAGACTTTTAAAAAATAATCATGTTGAAGGCAGGAGTCTATATATTGCAGTAAGTAGAACTTATTAATTTTATTCTGCAAACAAAAAATCAGCAAGAGGAGGAACAAGAGCTTGGAAATTAAAATTCAATAGAAGATCTACATTAAAAGGTAAAGAATTTTTCAAGTTAGCAGAACAAAAATATAAAGAGAAAGATACTAGCAGAGAAAAGGTAAGAAAATTGGAGGGTCAATCCAACTAATCTAGGAGTCCTAGAAGAGAATAGAGAAAAGAAATGGGAGAAAAGTAAGGAGGGACTATGCAGGAAACAATGCCAAGAATTGAAGGACATGACTCTAGCCTCTATAGCCCCTGATTATCCAGCATAATCAAAGACAAAAGATTATTACTAATGTATACAATTGTGAAATTTGGAATGTCAGGAATAAAGAAAGGATCTTAAGAGCTTCTAGAAGAATAAAATACAAAAGGGTCAGGAATCAAAATGGCATCAGTTTTCTACAAAGAAATCCTGGATGCTAGAAGACATTGGGAGGAATGCATTCTGAGGGGAAGTGATTATCATCCTAGAATTTTATATCCAGCCAAACTATCAGACAAGTGTAAGGAATTAAAAAGGACATTTCCAAATTGGGAAGAATACACTCAGAAAAGTTCTTCCTGTGCACTCTTGCTTGGGAAACTGCTGGAGATGGGCTTCAGCAAAACTGAGGAAGAGGAAACAAGATCCAATGCAGGCAGAGGCCAAAGCAATTCCCAGAATGATGAGAAAGGAAGTCCCAGGGCACGGTTGGGCTGCAAACCCACAGAATAACTAGTCTAGATTAGAGGATAATGATGGAGGGTGTCAGAAACATCTCTGGGAAAAATACTAGAAGTGGTAGAGTGTTTGAAACTGTGTTTTGAAAAAAATCTTGGTAAGTATGTGACAAAGTATTTGGAAAAGATTAGTGACAGGTACATCAAAAACTAAGGATGTGAAACAAAGTCAATTATTAACTCTGATAAGTACAAAAAAAGAAAAGAAAAGAAAAAGGAAAGGAAACAATCATAGAGTACCACCCGGCTCAGCAGTGAATATTTACATAATCATATCATCACAATATAAACATTAGCAACTGAATTAAACAGAAATTATAATATAATTATTGAGTGAATGGATGGAAGGGGTATAAGAAAGAGTTTCAGGAGAGCCAAATCCTCAACCACCATAATAGGAAATCAATAATAATACCTAAAATTGATGAATCAAAAGTAGTAGTTATATGCATATTATTTTAAAATGTGGAGGATTACTTAAGAAACAGATGAAAGGATTGAATTGACTGCTAGTGGGGAGTCGGGTTAAAGAACTGCTGTTATTTTGAAATAAGCCTTTATTTGATTTCTGTGTATGCATGCATTCGTTTAATGAAAGTTTTAATTTTTAAAAATAGCAATAATTGGAAACAGCATGTTTAACTTTACCTCTTCATCTTTGTCAGGTTCTTTTATATTCATTCTTCATGCCCAGGAAGCCTTTCCTGGTCCTTCCCCTCGCTTTAGGTTACATGTTCTTCTGTGCGCACCCACAGCATTACCCACACGCTGCACCTTTTTATACTTGACTATTTTTGTTTGCTAAATTGCCTTTTTCTGAGTCTATACTGTGAGTTCCCTGAGGGAAGAGACTGAATCTGTGCTGTTCACCACTACAACTCCAGTGCACAACATATAACCAGAGAAAGGAGAAATATGAACACATTTACCTTTTGCTCTGTCCACAAAGTCTCTTCTAGTATTGGAAATAAACTGATTTGATATTGCCTTCTTAACCTCTTCTTCTGTAGCAGCGATTTTCCAAGGGAGGTAGCTCTTTATTGATGCTGCTGATTGACCTTGAGGTAGTGTCCAGAGAAAGAGGTCCTATCAATACAGACACAATTTTCAGGAAAATCCATATGGGTTCACCTAATGCAATGAAGACTATGTGTGCTTGTGTGTACATATTCTTCTGTATCCTTTACATCCAGATATCACACTGCAGTGTATACAGGAGCCTATTCCAACAGGAGCCATCAGTTTACCCAGCTGTAACACAGGTACTTCATAATTTCTTTGATTTTTCTTATGGAGACAAGAAAAAGTGATTGCAAAGTCCAAAGAGTTATACCTGCAACCAGAAATCTCCAGCTGAAACCAGAGAAGACCCATGTGAGTGCTAGCTCTAGCTGTAAGTGCCCAAGAAGCAGACAGCCACTGCTTCCCCTCAGAGCCCCAGGCTTCAAGAGATACCCTACCTCCCATGGAAAGGCCTCAGAATCAGCCTATAGGAGGCAGGAGGGCAGGTCCTCTCTCCTGCAAAGAAATTTTATGGTTATGACGCTTGAAACCTCCATCATCTCTCTCCATCTTTTCACTCTCTCATGACCTTATTTCCTATTTCCCTGAGAAAATTGAAGCCATCTGATGAGACAACCCACCATGCCACCACCCAGCTACCATACCCACACTCCCTTATGCTGTGATGGGAGTGGAGCAGCAGGTGCTCCTAGCAGGGCCCATGGGCCCTGGTGTGCCACAGGCCACACATTTAGTCTACTCTGGCACATGACCCCTACAATTTTCACTTCTCTCTTACAACTTCAATTTCTCCCTCTCTTTGGGATCATGGCCGTCAATATCCAAGCTTGCCTTCACTTCTCTTAAAAAGAAAACTCCCTCTTCACCCTACTTTCCCCTCTAATTATTAAGATATGTCTCAATTTGCCTTTATATTGAAATTCCCCAAAATAGTAACATATATTCCTTGTCCCCAAAATGTGTCTTTTAAGTGTCTTTAATCTTCAGGGTCCCTCTCCATCCTCTTCTTTCCCTTTAAATCCCTCTATTGAAGAAACCAAGACATTCAATGTGTAGAGGTTCCCACACTCTGGATTTTGTGGAATGCATACTCATTGTGTAGTTTAGCAAGTTTCTCTATTCCCTGTATTTCCTGCAATTGACAACTAGATCCGGAGACTGACTTACACTCAGAATACATCCGTCTGGCAAGACTATTTGGCAAGGAGGATTATAACATACAGCTGTTTCTCTTTGTGTGCTGTTACCAGCTGTTAATGCTTAATGCCTAGATTAATAGACGCAAAGGGGTGATATTCCAACTTTTTTTTTCGTTTATTTGCTAGAATATGTTTATAAAGACACATTTTCCCTCATCTATCATTTAGTTTACCAGTGGCATAGTTCATATAAGGCAAGGGATAAAAGCTTGATCTTTTCCCAATTGTCAGTTTTTAAGATAATGAATTGGTTTCTTATCCTCTGAAAGTGTCCCCAAATTTTTAACAGAACTCACAGATTTAAGCATGTTTGATGTATTTTAATCTATTGCATATATTATCCTTATAGAAGCTCAAATTCTGGGCAGCGCGGGTGACTCAGCAGTTTAGCACCACCTTTAGCCCAGGGCATGATCCTGAAGACCTGGGATCGAGTCCCACGTCGGGCTCCCTGAATGGAGCCTGCTTCTCCCTCTGCCTGTGTCTCTGCCTCTCTCTCTCTCTCTCTCTCTCTCTCTCTCTCTCTCTCTCCCCCTGTCTCTCATGAATAAATAAATAAAATCTTTAAAAAAAAAACCTCAAATTCTTTTTGGCCTGTGAGCAAAATTTCATTATAACTCTAGTAGTTTTTTTATGGATATTTTGCTCTGTGGCATGACAAGATGTTCCAGACTCATTTTGCACATTTCCCACCCCAGATCTGGAATTTAGCCAGTTCTCCAAGAAGCTCTCCATCTCACACTAATCAAGCATTCTTCCACCACAACAGCTCTTTCCAAGGCAACCAATGACCTCCATTCTGCTAAAGCCAATGGCCAATCTATCCTCATCTTCTTAAACCTGCTAGCAGCATTTCACACAATGGTCAGTCCTTTCTCTTCATTTTCTTCACTTAGCTTCCAGTACAACACACTCAGTTAGATTTTCTCCTTTACAACTGACTGCCCCTTCTCAGTCCATTTTGCTACTTCTTCCACTGGCCTCTTAATAGTTAAGTGCCCCAAGGTTCATTCCTTGAACCTCCTCTGTTTTCTAGCTTGATGACCTCATCCAGTCTCATTTTATTTCGAATACATGAATAACTCCTATACATCTTCGGCTTAGACATCTCCCTCAACTCAGATCCCTATATCCAATGTCCTCCTGTAGATCTCCTGTTGGAATTTTTCCAAGACACCTCCAACTTCACATTCCCACACCTGAACTCCTGAGTGTCCTCTTCAGTCTTAAATATTCTACATTTCGTTAATGACCACTCTATCCTTACCACTGTTTAGACCTAAATCCCTGGAGTCATTCTTGGCCCATCTCTCTGCTCCCCATCTCACATTTTTTACATCAGAAAATCTTATTTTCCTATAAAATATATTTAGAATCCGACCATTTCTCCCAACCATACCTACCACCCTAGTCTGAGCCATCAGTGTTTATCTCCTGTACTATTGTAATAGCTTCCTAACCAGTATCTCGCCTTCCACCTCTACTCTCTTATACTCTACTCCTGACCAGAGGGATCCTGTTAAAGCATAATCATGTGACCCCTCTTCTCAAAATCCTGCAGTGGCTCCTCATATCTTTCAAAATAATAGTCACAGTCCATACAATGGCCTATAGTGCTCTACATGATTTATTCCCCCCACTTCAACACACATCTATCCCTCACCCCTCCCAACCCTCCTCCTCTTTGTTTTTTTTTTTTAATTTTTTATTTATTTATGATAGTCACACACACAGAGAGAGAGAGAGGCAGAGACATAGGCAGAGGGAGAACAGGCTCCATGCACCGGGAGCCCGACATGGGATTCGATCCCGGGTCTCCAGGATCGCGCCCTGGGCCAAAGGCAGGCACCAAACCGCTGCGCCACCCAGGGATCCCTCCTCTTTGTTTTCTGTTCTCACGTCCTCCTCCTTCTCACTGAACTCCAGCTACCAGAACTTCCTTGCAATTCCTTAAACATCAGACACACTTCTGCCTAAAGGCTTTGCCTTTGAAAGGATGAGTTCTCACCAGAAATATCAGCATGGCTTTCTCCCTCACCTCCTTCAAATCTTAGTTTGAAGGTCACCATCTAAATGACTCCTCCCTAAATTATCCCACATAAAATTGCAGACCCTTACCCCATCCACTCCACTCTGGATCCCCCTTTCCCTGATCATTTTTTTCCCCATAAAACTAACACTTTCTAACCTTTTATGGCACATTAAAGTTTGCCTGTGTGTTATATTTATTATCAGTTGTCTGTCTCCCCCTACAAACATGTAAGCTCCACAAAGATAAGGGTTTTTTCCTGTTTTGTTCACTGCTACATCCCCAGGCTCAGAAGAAGGCCTGGCACAAGCTGGGCACTCAATAAATATTGGCTGCTTAAAGAAGTAAATTAAAAGGTAGTACAGATAACCAGCCACTGCCTGAAGGCTTTGCCCTCCCAGAACACTGCTAGGCCCAGGTAAAATTGTTTTTTTTTTCCAGTATCCTGAACAGGAATTGCAGTCACCAGTGACCTCTGGTGGGATACTCCATGGATAGCAGAGATAATTTACATGATGATAGATGGCTCTGTATCTCTTTCCCAGGCATTTCAGATACCACATCCTTCAGGCTTTCCTTTAGGAATGCTCCTTTGTCTCCATTTACTGCTTCCTTCTTTACCCTACACCTCAAACCTACGGATTCCCCAGGACTTCATCAGGCACACCCATCTTTATCCTCTACAGGCTCTCCCTGGTAGTGCTAGTCTTCTGAGGGCCCTCCGATATATGTAAGCCCTGCAAGCAAAAGGTGCCAGTGAACAGAATCAGCTGCAGAGTCCTGTGGTCACTGATTAAACACTGACCCACCTCCAGCCCATTTTCCACCTGACTGTCCACACTGGGATGCATCACAATTGCCACCCATATATATCAGCCGGCGGTTGTTTCCCACCACCCTTTCCTCGAAGGAGCTCCAAACCACTAGTCTACACTTTAACTCCCAGGGCAACTGTTCTTTAGAGGCAGATCCTCTCTCTTAGCAAAGAAGGTGCACCTTGCTAGCCTCATCCAAGGTCAGGCCCTGAGCCACAGCCAAAACCATTCAACAAAAACAAATAAGTAGCAGGTAGAGAGGGTGCAGCAGAGTAAACAAGGCAGCACACGCTCAACCCAGGTCGAGGGGAAGGGCATTTAGGTGCTGGAGCTGCCGCCACCTGGTGTGTAACCCTCAGTGGTTGAAAGTGCACAAGGCAGTCTGCCCCGCTACCACTCATTGGCTGAGAATGCACAGGACGCCCTACCACTCGAGCTCTCTTTGGCTGAGAGCCTTCAAAACACCTAAATGGAAAATAAATGCTTTGTGTGTATGTGTGGATATAACGCATACATAGTATAATATTGTAACTGACTGCTTTACATAATTTTAAAATCTTAAGACAAATATTTAAGAGGTAAACTCATTAAAATAAATGGTAGCATGAGGAACCAAATTAAATCGGGTATGTGTTTATGTTCTAATTACTCCCAAGTCTACATCTATAGCTCTCCTCTTCCACACAAACTCCAGACCTACATACTCAACTGCCTGTTGGACATATTTTCAACCAACATGTCTTTAACTGAACTCACATTTCCCCCATGCCCTTTCACACCAAACCTGGTCCTAACCCATGTTCCAGCTCAGCAAACAGCTGCAGCATACACCCAGCCATCCAAGTCAAAAACAGAAACTCCATCCTTCATTCTTTCCTCTTCCTTGTCTTTTATATCTTTTCAGTCACCAAATCCTGCCCATTCTACCACTTTAGTGTCTACTGAATACATCCAGGTGGCTCCATCACACATGGCACCATACCAAGGGGGTAGCCAAGTAAATGAAACCCTTTACTATAACTGAATATTGCTTTCTATGGTGGGAGAAGGGTATATGGAAGTCAGAGGGAATATTAGTTGCTTCCATCTGGAGGAGAAGGGAATTAGAGATAGCTGCACCTTGAGGAATGTCTAAATTTCCTTGGTGGACAGGAGAAGGGATTCCAGACAGAGTAAACAAAATGACAAAAGATCTGGTAGCTGGAGAACACATAATACCAAACACAAATATTTGTGAGTGCCAGCATTATTGACAATATAGCCAAAAGCTGGAAACTGCCCAAATGTCCACCAATAGATAAATGAAAGAACAAAATGTGGTATACACATACAATAGAATATTCTTTAACCATAAAAGGGAGCCATAAAAAGAAATGAAGTACTGATAGACACTACAATGTGAATGAACATTGAAAGGATTATACTAAGTGAAGAAGCCAGACACGAAAGGTCACGTATTGTATGATTCCTCATAAAAAAATATCCAGAATAGGGCGGCCTGGGTGGCTCAGCGGTTTGGCGCCTGCCTTGGGCTCAGGGCCTGATCCTGGATCCTGGGTCCCAGGATCGAGTCCCACATGGGGCTCCCTGCATGGAGCCTGCTTCTCCCTCTGCCTGTGTCTCTGCCTCTCTCTCTGTGTCTCTCATGAATAAATAAATAAAATCTTAAAAAAAAAATATCCAGAATAGGTAATCCATAGAGCTAGAAAGCAGATTGGTAATTATCAGAGGCTAAGGAAGAGGAAAGCAGGATGTAATTTCTTAATGGGTGTGGAGTTTCCTTTTGGGATGATGAAAATGTTTTGGGATGAGATAAAGGTGGTCATTCCAGAACATTATGAATGTACTAATTGTCAATGAATTCTTTATGTTAAAATGGCTAATGTTATGCCCCATGAATTTAATTTCAATTTTTAAAAGTCTTTTTAAAATTTTGGAGGATAAGGGAGAAGTGGTTACAAATAAATGTGAGACGGTGGGCAAAAGTAGTATAAGAAGGACCATAAGTATAGATGAAATATTTGGGGACATATTCAAATTCTCATTCTGTATGGATTACTGGTACCGTATTAAATTCTTTTTTTATACTGTATTAAATTCAGTGGATATGTAGATATTATCTTACTTGACTGGGGTGAAATTTGTGGCTCCTGGTTCTTCTTGAAGTCCCTGTTTTGATCAAATCTTCTTTAGAAGGTGATTTCCAAACATACTCATCATTGTACTGTGTCTGATTGGGAATAGGATCACTAAGGGAATATGTATATCCTAGTCTTCTGATACTTTTTTGGCTACAAGACAAGACAGTGAAAATCAGAATGAGGGGTTAAATACCAAATCTTACAGCAGTACACATGTCAAATAATTTAGCTTGTTACATTTTTTTTAAGATTGGTTAGTTTAAGACTTTATGCCAGAAATCACTTAACTTCCAGATTCCCTTGAAAAGAAACAATTTTGTGTCTTAGGATGGCTCTTAACAAAAATATGGGAGACCTAAAATGGAATTTAAAAGAACAAGCATCTGAAGTTCATTAATTCACTTAATTTTTTAAAGAGCTTGTACTCTCCTGTATAAACAGTATTTCAATGTAATCAAATACTTGGTGAAGAAATGTTTCTCTCTATAGAAGTATTCCAGTTAATAAAAGGAAGATACATAAGAACTGAGATACCACTAGTTTGCAAGGCCCTAATAAAACCATGCATCCAGGCAATGATCACCAGTTCCTACTCACAGTCCAAGAAGAGAGTCCACCAGCTACTATGTGCCCTGGATGGACATACACAAAACCTATTAAATATTTTTGTCAAAATGCCCAACTTGAATCACATGAATTTGGAATATTAGATTACAGGAAATACAGGAAAAGAGAAATATTATTTAAAATATATATGGGAATGAAATATATATGGGAATGAAATCAGAAAAATCCAGAACAATTATCTGTTTCAAGAAACAAATTCTTAGGGGAAAAAAAAATGGAGAACCTATAGATTAAATGAGGTTAGAAAATATAATGACCAAGTGCAATGTGTAGAATTTATTTGGATTTAATTTCTAACTGACTAATTATTTCTTTTTAATTATGAGACTTTAGTGGGAAATTTGATTGCTGACTGACCATTTGATATTAAGAAACTATTCTGGGATCCCTGGGTGGCGCAGCGGTTTGGCGCCTGCCTTTGGCCCAGGGAGCGATCCTGGAGACCCGGGATCGAATCCCACGTCGGGCTCCCGGTGCATGGAGCCTGCTTCTCCCTCTGCTTGTGTCTCTGCCTCTCTCTCTCTCTCTGTGACTATCATAAATAAATAAAAATAAATAAAAAAAAGAAACTATTCCTTTTTTAGCTGAGACCGTGTATTGTTGCATATTTTTAAAGAGTACTTTTCTTTTAGAGACACATAAAAATAATATTTAGAATTAAAATGATATGATGCCTGGAATTTGCTTCAACATTACCCAGCGGGAAGGCTGGGTGGAAGATATATATAAAAAGTGTCCATGTGTTGATTATTGCAGCTGGATAATAGCTAGGGATTCATTGCATATTCTTTTGTGTATGCCTAAAATGTTTCATATTGGCTTTTTTTTTAAAGAAGCCTGAGTTGAACTCAGGTACTGTCTATAAGAAACCAAACATCTGGAAAGTGGGATACATCTGGATGATGGACTATTTTACTTGTCATTCAGATGTGTAGGTTCAGCTAAAGTAATCAAAGGCACATGAAGATTTTCCAAAGGCAACACAGTACAAATAAAATTGCTTTAAGGGAATTGATTTTCAGATCTCCACCCCTCAATGTACTCTTTCTTAATGCGCCTCTGAGAACAAACCTCCAGATCTCCACAGGTGTTTTCTATCCCACACCTTTCACCCTTCCGCACATCGTGATAGGATCTTACATCAGTGCAAGATACCTCTGGGTATAAGCCTCTGAAGTCAAGAAGGTTGCCTCATGAAGAGAAACTTTGTTAGTGGTTCCAAGGAGGGAACCTTGTAATCCGAATTCCATACCCCTATCTCCAGCTTGCCTTTGGAGGTCTGAGAGGGTGAGGAGGGTGGGTAAGAGGGAGGGGGATGCCATATTCTAACCAGGGCATGTGGTCTATGTGGGATGTCCTGAATTTAGGTATGCTGTAGAGTGCTATAGCTAAGAGCAATGTCTAGTTTTTCATTTCCTAACAATTACAGAATGTTCAGCTCCCTTTAGGGAGAAGCATCTGAGAAGAGAACAGGGAATATAGAGTGCTTCAAAATGGCCCTTTCCCCCACATATTTAAAATTAAACATTTTTCCAGCTTAAAAAAAATCCCTAGGACATGTCATTCACTAGAAAGAAAAGCATCTCTGAATAGGTAAAGCAGTACAGGGTGGTAATGCTGATTCTTTTGAACACAACCAGAATCTTTTCTGGGACCAGAAAGACTACCAGATTCATAAAGACTCACTGGATAAAACTGGTACATAAAAATGTTATTTTTTTCTTCAGATTTTGTATTCATCATTCAATAAGGTACTTAAGTCTCATTTTTTTAACCCAAACATATTATGAAATATTTACTCTAATACAGCCAGTCCTCATTTTATTTTATATTGTAAAATATGTAACAATACATGGAAGTAATATGCTGGCTTGCCAGACCAATCCATTTTCAGCATGTAGAACTTTCTCTTTCATTACGTGCATAATAAATGTTTGATTTGTATCTATAAGGGAAGATGGATGTTACCTGAATCTATTGTGGCAATCATTTCACAATGTATGTAAACTAAACATCATACCATATGCCTTAAACTTATATGTAGTGATGCATGTTAATTATTCCTTAATAAAACTGGGAAAAAATATTAAACAAGTTTCTTCCAAGTGAAAGAGTAACTGATGTAATTTAATAGTCATTTGTTAAGACGTAGCTTTTCAGTATACTTCTCAGAAAATGAGTTAGCAAATAACTCAGTAACTGGATGACATATCATCTAATTATTTGCTTTCAATAAAATCGAAAGAGTACCCAAGCAAGTTGTCAGCTGCTCAATCATAAAAATCACCTTGTAATTTTTGGCATATAACTCAGAAAGAGTTCAAAGTCTTGAATGACAATCCCACACTTAACTCCTTTCATTCACAGTTACTCATGTGAACAAGATTGTTCAACAGTAGCATCTATAAATTGAAAAATAAACACCAGAAGCAGAAAAAAAATTGATGCTGAATGCAGTCTCATTCCAAAAATAATAACGCTTAAAACTGGATACATAAATTAATTTCAAGCAGAACAGTCACATTTATCTCATTAAGATACAATTCCAAAAAATTTACTTTCTGTGTTTAGTAATTATTAACATTTGTAATGTATTTATTGCTTTGAGCAATTGTGTACTAAAAATAATTGTGATAACTCAATACTTAGGGTCACGTAACATGTTTAAAAATTAATTTCAATTAATATACTAAAAGAATTTCAACAAAGTATAATGGAGTGATCAATAAATTGCTTTCAAACAAAATATATTACAGCAGATTAAAATTCTTTGGAGGAAGTGGAGTGGAATAAGAGAGTTCAAGAAGCAAAGGGAATGAAATAAATGGCCTTCAGCCTTCTTTAATAGAAGGTGCGTATTTTTCAAAAAGATCATACCAACTATCAATTTGTTAAAGTGTTTGGATTACCCATTGGCTATATTTTGTTTCTGCTGACTTCATAGTTTCATTTTAAAATGTCAATCTTTTAGGATGGGCTATGCATTTTCTCTCTCACAATTATTTTACAATGAAAACTTTTCTGTGAACTTAAAAAAATATGCGAATTTGAAGACCACTGACCTAGACTCCATTAGGACCCATTTGTTTTTGGAATTTTTCCCAAATGTTTCTTCTTGAGACAACTGTTACTGACTGGGAAGCTGGCATGATCATTCCCGTCAGATGATAAATCTCCCAGTTAGGGGACATAATGTAACTCAGTGGGATAGACAGTAACTCAGATATCAAGAGTCTTGCGGGCTTGTCGTTTTTGAAAGTCTATCAGATATATACTGAGAAAAAAAATAATGAAAAATTTGGAGTAATTTCTTGGTGCTAGTCACTGTACTAGTGCTTTCATTCCATCCTTAGAACAACCCCCTAAGGCAGGGATCATCATTCCCACTTCGCCAACCATAAAACTGAGCCACGGATGGCTTGTAACCTGCTGAAGGTAGCAGCGATCATAGCAGGTAGAGCAGGGGAGCAGAGGGTAAAATCGACTTCTGCCGGACTCTTTAGCCGTGCTCTCGCCCTTACGCCATTTGGCTTCTCAATAATTTGGACTTTTATTTAAGATTTTTTTATTTATGTATTCATGAGAAAATGCACAGAGAGACAGACGGAAGAGACATAGGCAAGAGAGAAGCAGGGAGCCCTATGCAGGACTCGATCCCGGCACTCTGGGGTCAGCCCGGAGCGGAAGGCAGATGCTCAACCACTGAGCCATCCAAGCATCCCAGCAACTTGAACTTTTAAGGTGAAAAGATCCTCTTTGTGGGAAACACTTCACAGAGGAAACACAGGCAGGCAGAAGGCTCTCCATGCTGGTTTCCCACCCACCACGGATACAATGAACAATGACAGGGCTATCCTGATCTCACTCTTCCTCACCCACCAATGAGTTTAAAGAGGCGGCTGATGGATAAAAATTCTCAACACTCACAATTCAGGTGGAAATGGAGCTGTTGCAAGCCATTTTAAGAAACAGTAAGTGGAGTAGTGAAGGTAAGGGTAAGTACTGGTGGCCCTCCAGCTGCCAAGACCAATGTTGGTGATGGAAGTGCTAACAATTCTTCATTCAGCCATTTATTCAATTGTCATTGCCTGCCTACTCTATACCAGACAATGGATTTGATTCCTACTCCATGTTCAGGTAGCACAATTCAGTTAACCTATATACTGGCTCTATCATAAAGCATGACCTGCATCAACTTTATGAAGGATCCATGTGTTCCCTTCCTTAGTTCTCCTGTAAGAGGTCTGGATACTGTCTTAAGAGGGGAAGCCTGTCTGGTGCTTGGAGGAGCACTGTGTGTGGAGGAGTACCTGGGTGCATTTTCATAAGCCTTCTCTGATTACTCTTTGTCTTGGTTTTAGACTCTGAATAATAGAATACAGGTGAACAGTTTAAGGTGTGCACATCAACCTGACATAAATCAAGGTCTACCGAATTAGAGCAGGCACCGCTCCTGTCTTGGGCGTGAATGCAGTCCTCATGGTGGTGGCATAGGAATCCCAGGTGGCATCACCTGTCAAAAGTACGACAAAACAGTTTGAAATGTGTCAGACAGAAAATTTCCATCATATGTTGCTTTAATAGTTAAAATAATTTGGAATGCCTGGGTGGCTCAGCGGTTTAGCGTCTGCCTTCTGCCCAGGGCGTGATCCTGGAGTCCCGGGATCGAGTCCCAAATCGGGCTCCCTCAAGGAGCCTGCTTCTTCCTCTGCCAGTGTGTCTGCCTCTCTATCTCTCTGTGTCTCTCATAAATAAATAAAATCTTTAAAAAATAATAATAATAATTAAAATAACTTTTTAGAGAAAAATATTTTTTGATAATAATTTAAAGTCTAAAGAAATAAAGACCAATTTGCAGCCTCTTGTAGAAAAGAGGAAAGCTCAAGTGAATTATCTAAACAAAAATAGGTCCATTGTTTTTCCTGAGAATCCATACAGGCTATTTTAAAGAGTTCACACAACACATAAAAATATGAAACAGAAAGTCTGAGGTGCTATCACCTTAAGATGTCCACTATGACTTTAGTGACCAACCTCTCATGTATCATAGTAGATAAACCTATACACACATGAAACAACTTTAAAGTTTACATATTCCATTTTATCCCAAGCACCTTTTCTCTCCTTCCTCCCTCAGCTCATCATTACTCCCCTCCCCAACCCCCCCCCCATGTTAATAACTGTGCTGGTTTCTTTCCATGCTTTAACAAGTGCAGATACAATAATCTAGAGACTTATGTATACAAGTATGTTGACGCTGGGTTTTAGTTTTCACCATCTTGTTTTATAAAAATGGGCTCATAATTCACGAAGTGTCTTTTCTTCTGTCACTGAACAGGGTCCTCTAGGAAAGCCTTCCAACTCATCTGGGGCAGCTCTAATGTGTTTTTCGTCACAATTGCTCATGATTCTGTAGCTTAGGTGAGATTTACATTACGAGAGCGAGTGGGATCCATAAGAGGAGTATAGCTAGAGGAGACCAGTCCAAAGGTCAAAGCCTCTGGCATGCCAATGTCAAGAGCCTGGGGGAAAGGGGAGTCCGGGGAGGAGACCAAGAAGAGCAGTCAGCAAGGGCAGGGAAACACCAGGGGCATGTGTGACTGGAAGGCCACAGGAAGGAGGGGTTTCCAGGAAGCAAGTGGGAGGGATGGCCTATGGCAATGCTAGCCAGATCCAGGAGGATGAAGACAGAGAAGTAACCATCAGGCACACACTCACAACAGCAGCATTTATCTGCCCCAACCTCCCATTGTCCACAGAGTACCACCAAAGTTCTTGCGAGTAAAGATTTTAAATGTAACTGAGTCATTCTCTCATTATTCTTTTCTGGACCATTAACCTGTTTACATTTCACTACAACCTGGGTTAAAACGGTCCCCTTTCACGTTCAAACACTGCTGGTTGGGGGAAAGCACCTCACTGCTAGACACCTGTAGCCACCTCATTGCCTGTGACATTCCTGCTTGTGCATCAAATACAAGTGCTGGAAAATTCTTTCCTCAAATATGTCTACAATTTCCAAATAGTCTTAACCTCTATTTGCACTGCCCAGCCTATAGGGCCCCGACCAAACATTGAATTTTTGCTGTCTACGCACTTCTTCCTATTTCATCTCCACATCTCCCAACCAGGTCTTGTTTCTGATTTAACAGGCCCTTGGGTGCAGCCTGGCAGCTGGACCTGCTCATCTATGACTGTCTCCCCACGGCCTTTTCACTGGTTGAGATTCACCTCCACTAGCTTCCCCAGTCTAACAATAGTCTAGCCCCTGAATGCTACACTCGGGGCCTCTGCTTACACACACTTCGAGGGCCCACGCCCTGATCCCATTCTGTGAGAAATGACATCATGCTCTGATGCCACTGCTTTTAGTGGGAGTCACTTCATGCTTTCAAGCATTTTGTTCCAATGGCAGAATTAAATGTTCTTTGTTCAGAGAATTCCAAGTATGGACAAGTAAGTGGGAAGAAATTGGGAGGCAGTACTGCTGCTCTTAAAAGAAACCTTCACTTAACCTGATTTGAACCTCAGAATATGTCTCTTGCAAGGATCAGGAAGGATCCTCTGCATAGACACCACACATCATTTCAGCCTCTTCTTCCTAAAACAAAGGATACTAACCCCGTCCAGATCAATGTCCTGTTAGGCCCAAATATGCCTAAAAAACCCTGGCAACACAGCTTCCAGGTAACATCTCCCAATCCATCACATGGGCAAGCCAGACTATGGCTTGGGTGTCCCTCCTCTGGATGTCCCTGCCTACGGCCTTTCCCCTTTCTGAAGACAGAAAGGGGCTGAGGACAGTCTGGGGGCTGGCAGCTGGCAGCCTCCTTTTGCTGAGATCCTATTCCAGAAGGCATCAGGTGCAGGAGGGGCTATGCCCAGCTGCTTCTAGGATCTGAGACCAAGTGTACCTCCTTCTCCCTAACTCTAACCCACTTGGATGACTAAAATGATGACATGTGCAATTTCCAGTAGCTCTTTCTACAATTTTTTGTTTAATGACTTTTCTTACTAGATGTCAGGTCAGTGTCTATGCTTCATATTTCCATTGACAAAGCTTCTGAAAATAAAATGTTATTCGAATTAATCCTCTTTCAGATGCCTGGGTGGCTCAGTCTGTTAAGCACCTGCCTTCAGCTCAGGTTATGATGCCACGGTCTTAGGATCAACCCTGCGTGGGGCTCCCTGCTCAACGGCGAGTCTACTTGTCCCTCTTCCTCTGCCCCTCCCCACATTTGTACTCTCTCTCAAATAAATAAATAAATAAAGTCTTTTTAAAAAGTAGAACAAATCCTCTTCATTAACAGAAATAATAACTTAAAAATCTATTATCATAATATTTTAAACATCTATTTCCAGCGTGTCCCCTGCTTTTTGTATTCATTCCTAGTAAGTATCTCAGTGTTTCTCCCTATAACTCTGTGTCCACCTCTCCTAGGATTCTGTCTTCCTATTTCTACCTTCTCTCATTTTCTGTCCATTCTATAGTCAAGTCCTAAATCACTCCCATGGATGAACCCCTCTGCTAGGCCTTAGGGCATACAGACCCTGTTCTGGACTTAGGGAACTCACAGGTGAGTAGAGGAGATGACAAATATCCAATGAGCACAAGCTTATAGATGTACTGCTGTGCTGTGTGCCATAGGAGATTTCTAAGGAGGGTGTAATTCTTTCTGGTTGGATGAGAGAAAGGACACTGAGGGTGGGTCCAGGAGGTACTTCATAGAATAGGTGGCATCTGAGCCAGGACTTAAAGTGGGAGTGTGAGGGATGCTTGGGTGGCTCAGCGGTTGAGCGTCTGCCGTTGCCTCAGGTCATCATCCTGGGATCCTGAGACTGAGTCCTGCATTGGGTTTCCTGCAGGGAGCCTGCTTCTCCCTCTGCCTGTGTCTCTCATGAATAAAGAAAGAAATAAAATCTTTAAAAAAAAAAATAAAGTGGGGATCCCTGGGTGGTGCAGTGGTTTGGCGCCTGCCTTTGGCCCAGGGAGCGATCCTGGAGACCCGGGATCGAATCCCACGTTGGGCTCCCGGTGCATGGAGCCTGCTTCTCCCTCTGCCTATGTCTCTGCCTCTCTCTCTCTCTCTCTCTCTGTGACTATCATAAATAAATAAAAATTAAAATAAAACTTGGTAATATAAAAAAAAAAAGTGGGAGTTTGACAGTAACCACAGGAGGACACAGAGTGGAACATTTTTCAGACAAAGTGCCATGACATATAAAAGTCTGAGACACAACAAATGGTCCAGGTGAGAAAGGCAGAGGAAGTGGCCAATGACAGGTCAGTGATGCCTGGTTAGCCCTGCTATACCCTCGTGCTTTATCACCCCTGGAGGTATTCACAATTATGAAAATTTATTATGAGGTTTTGAAAATATTATAAAACAGTAGCTAGCACGTGCATATTACATTACACTTTACAAAGTGTTTCCATGTATGGAATTTCATTTTAGCTTCACAACAGCCCAATAGATGGGCAGGTATAAACAGTACCTGATAGTTCTAAGTTTGCCTTGTATTTGGGAGGACTAAAGGGGATGGTAAATTCAAGCATTTTTAGTAGGTTGAAAGGGGACCCAAAAGATAAATCTACATCCAAACCCCAGAGCCTGTGAATGGTACCAAATAAGGGGCCGTTGCAGATACAGTTAAGGATCTTGAGATGAGGAGATCATGCTGGATTATCAGTGGGGCCCAAATGCAATTTCACCCCCCTTAGGAGAAGCAGAGGGAGATTTCACACAGAAGAGCAGGTGTTGTGACCACAGAGACTCAGGCTGAGGTGATGGGCCCCAGGTCAGGAACGCTGACAGCTCCCAGAAGTTGCAAGAGGCAAGGAAGGATCCTGTCCCAGAACTACCGCTGAGAGTGCAGCCACGCCAGCACCTTGATTTTGACCTTTTGGTCCCAGAATGTGAGACAATAAATGTCCTTTGTTTCAAGCCACCAGTTCACGGTTATTTATGATGGTCCTTCAAACTGACACGGCAATTATAAGCCCATATACAATAATAGTTCGATTACTATATAGCAAGTAGCCCAGGATAGTCATTGTCAACCTCACCTTATTTTTGGACCAAAGCTGGGCAGTGACACATCAGTCCCACCTTTTGGAGCATGACATTTCTAGCAGTGGAAGAGAGAGTGGCACTCTATTAGAGCCCCAAGACTAGGCATGGAGAGTCAAACTTCCCCACTAGAAGAGGAACTTTGGGGGCAAAATCAATGAGTCTTACTAACCAAAGTGGGGCATCAGTGAAGCTGCTCTCCTTTTTACCTTGAGCAGCTGGCATCTTCCTAACTGATGCTGCAAAGTCTAGGAGAACAAGGGGTGGAACTTTGTATATATTAGCCCTCTGTGACATCCAAATGAACTATCTGGTAGGCAGTTGGATACTTCGGTATGAAAATGAAGAAGAGAGAGTGTGACATAAGATTAGGAAGCCATTGGCACGTTTCAGTAGACTCGAAGCCCTTGGTAGGACATGGCCACTGCACAGAAGATGTAAATAAAAAAGGATAGATCTTGGAGGACTCACATTCCCCAGACAAGGCGGAGAGGAGACAGTGAAAGGTACCAAGACTGGAAAGAGAGGAGGAGATTCAAAACAGAATGCAGTGGGGAAACCCTGGGGAGGAGGTTCTCCCTATCTCTCTTCTTTGCCTTGTTGTCATACAGAAACAGTGTTTTCAATATTTTTTGTACGAATTAAGTATTTTAATTTTCCATCTTTAATTTACAAAGAGATCAACAGAATGAAAATATGCATTTCATTCTGGTGGGTCTGCAATTCTAGAGACTTTGCAGTTGAACGGTTCCCACTGCTCTGTAGCCACCACAGAACCACAATTACCCAGCTGGAGGGCTGCAGTGGGTTATTACTGCCATGAGAAAGGCCAGGATGGAGCTGACTACACAGTAATCATGCCACTAGCATCACAGTTAGAATGGCTTTCCCTCCACTAACACAAAAAGCTGACTTTGTAAACCTGCTGCATTTGCATGCAAAATTAGCATTAAAAACTCTACCTCAGTTAAATACAAAATCACTTTGAAAAAATCAGCAAAGGTTGGATAGAAGTGGCAGCTGAATGCCTAGTTTCCAGCCTCTGCTACAGCTACGTGGGGGAGATGCTACTTCCGCAGATCCACTTAGGAGTCCCTGCATTCTGCATCTCCAGTTTTCTGGGCTGTTCTCTAAATCCTGGATGGGGATCAGATCTCTGCTGGATCTGCTGTCTTCAGAGCATCTGACCTCTGTACCTTGTTTGTCTTTGACCTTGTTCTCCTGGAAATGCACTATTCCTTCCTTTCTCCTATCCCTTCCTAGGCACGTTGCGGGGTGTTTAAAAACACCTGAGGGGTTCAGGGAGAGGTTCTGCAGAAATGCAGCGAAGGGCTGTAAAGGACCAGTCATGAACATCTCATGCTCTCTGACTCCCAGACTCTCCATGAATTGAGTCCCGCCCATAAGAGGGAGGCAAAGAGCCTTGCAGACCAAAGCAGCCTTTGCTCTAGTGCACCCCCTTCCCAGGAAAAAGCCCGCCGGCCCCCCCACCCCTCCCCCGCCGCTCCCCCGCCCCTCGCAGCCCGCAGGGTCCACAGCCTTACTTGGCTGCATCTTGAAGCGGTCTTGAGAGGCGCTCGCGGCCTCGGGCCCAGGCAATGCCATTCTTGCTCAAAAGAAGCCCTAGCGGTGCCCTCTGCCCCTGCTGGACTGGACGCTCTGGGCAGCAGGCAGCTCGGGGCTGCTTTGTGACGCGTCGCTATGGAGACGCGGGTCACTCTCCGCAGCTCAGCGGGGGGCCGACAGGGGCGGGAGGCGCCGGCGCGCTCCACCAGGCAGGCTGGAGACCGGGTGCGGAAAGCAGAGTTGTGCTTCCAGGAATATGGATACTTCCTTCCTTCCGTGTATTCCTGTAGTTCTTGCAACGAGCTTTCCTGTGCATTGTCTTGTATATCTGGGGAGAAGAGCATAAAGACAAGTGTTGAAGAGAAAGTCATATTGTCAGATTTGCAATTGCAAATTTTCATCTGTTCCTAACTTTCTACTTAAGTGACTGTGGGCAGAGTTGTCTAGATCTTTGCATTAAGTAGGAAACAAGAGTGGGCAGGGTTGTGTGTGACACCTTTCCCCTCACCAGGGGAGGTTTCTGGCACAAACTGTTGTGTTTTGTGATTGTCAATTTAATTGTTCAATTCCCACAGACTGAACTGTCTCTCACCGCCCCTCCCCCTCCGCCTCTGAGTGTGTCATAGTTTTTCCAGAATGTGGAGGGTTTCTATCTTCGTATTCTTGACAAGAATCTTGGTAGTTTGACACATAGTAGGTGCTTAGTAAAATTGAATGCCTCTAGGCTAGGACATAGCTATTAGCCACTTACCTGGGTGCGAAGAAAAGAGAGGAAGTACTCATTAGAGACGTTGGCAATATATTTAGAAAGCAATTTACAACCATTCCTTCTCTGCAAAGGGGTTATTCGAAAGTAGGACCTAAGGTGAAGGTGTGACATTTTAAAAAAGGAGTTTATCAAAGGTCACAGAATACATATCAAAGTAAGCATCCCACGTGTGTATGCAAGGCATTGCTTAAAAATTAAGAACTAAAGTAGAATTTTCTGAGAGGAGTCCTATCCATATAGTGGAACACATATAATGCATTTTTTGGACTCTCTAATTTTATAGTTATAAATGATAGTGGAACACTTAGAAGGTTTAGAGTTCTGTCAATGTTATTAAAAGGAATGAGTTTAAACGAGGATTTAGTAGTGGCATCTAAATGGGGGAAATAACACCCAATAACAGATTATGGTCTGAAAATGGCAGAGCTCATTAGGATAGCATGAGTTAAGAAAAAAGATTTTTTTTTAATGAAACAGTGAGTCTTTAGAATGTTGAAAGTGAATTCTTATTAATATCTTCTATTTGTCTCTTCTTAGGCAAGCTGAAAAATTGTGGCCCCACGCACCCAATCGGGAGTTGGGAGATCTCTTTGTACTTTCTACCTGGGGGCCCTTGGGATCAAGCAGATACTTCTCTGAGCCCCAATTTATCTATAAAACGAGTATACCAGTGCCCACCTCACTGGGCTGTAAAGATGAATAATTCTAACAATAATTTATAAATTATAAAGCCACATAAACCTCAGATATTGCTCTATTGTCTTATTTATTCTTTTTATAGCCTTTCCTTTCTGTTTCACAATGGATTTTTGGTACAAGTCAATTTTATTGTGAGCAGTATAGCACTATTCCTGCCTCTGAATTTGGGTTGCTTGAGGCAACCCCTTTCAATGATTAAGTTGATTTTTTTCCTTTCTTCTTCCTCCCAACAAACACTGCACTGAAAATGAGCTGCATGATGACATTGAGGGCAATGCCCTGGATATTGATGGGAGCTTGGGGAGCTGGTCCTAGCTCCTCCTAGTGCCTGTGCTGAGTTCTCAAGGATGCCTAGGAGGAAACCAAGAGAGGGAGAGCTGCCACCAGGTGGAGCAAAGGCCCAGGAGGCAGGAAACATGGGATTGCCACACTGGAAAGAGTGAAGGCAGGGGCTAGGAAACTGCAGCAAAAGGCCCTGCAGGCTGTGCTAGGAAGTTGGGCCTCCCCTGAGCAGTGGAGTCGGTTAAAGCAACAGAGTGAAGGGATCAGATCAGAAGTTTATACAGATCCCAGCCTCTTTTTCCAGGGAAAAGAGAAGCACAGTTATCCATACCACCTACCAGTGAAGGTTAATCATTCAGAAATTAAGACGTCCAGGTTACTAATATATGCCTCTTACAGAGTCTTGAATTGATCATCAAACAATTGAAAGTAGTCATAGTGAATGGGCTAAATGTTAAATGGTCGTCTCCAATTTAAAGTATTATAATAAATTTCTTTCTGTGTACATACACGCACAAACACATGCATGCTGCAGGAATGTGATGTGAAGGAGTAGCGACAGGTGGGTGGGAGACGGAGGGGACGGCAAGGATAGAACTACCCAGCTTTTGGCTGTGAAGGAGAAGGGAGTCTCCAGCTGGAGGAGAGAGAATGGGTCAGGAAAGGGAGTGGGTCAGGTTAATACCCAAACAAGAGAGAAGTAACCAAGTTCACAGGCCATGGGGATGAAGCAGGGAGAGAGATGGGGCTTGCCGCTGTGGAAAAAGCTGATGGGACCTAGACTTGGAGAAGACAGACATGCTTCTCCTCAAACTGGGCATGCCCACCACACCTGGGCATCTCGAGAGCACAGATTCTGACTCAACTGGTCTGGAAGGGCCTGAGATTCTCCTTTTCTAACAAGATGCCTAGGAGATTCATAAAGTTTGAGATGGACAGATCCAGAGCCTTGTCCTAGGACGAGCAGAATCTGCATCACCCAGATAGTTAGAACACAGACCTGATGACTCAGAGTCTGCAGCTTTAGCAAGACCTCCAAGAGGGTCCTAGACATAATCCAGTTAGCAAAGCTCTGCTCCAGGAACTACCATAGGCCAAGGTGTCTCCTAAATGAGAAGGAATATAAAAAATTAGTTGATGGGAGAATTCAAAGAGCAAGCCAACAAAGGATATGTGAAAGATTCGGCAGCAGGAGACTGCTTCCAAGAGCCCTGGAGAGGGCTCCTGAGTGGCTCAGTGGTTGAGCATCTGCCTTTGGCTCAGGTCGTGAGCCTGGGGTCCTGAGATCCAGTCCCGTACCAGGTTCCCCACAGGGAGCCTGCTTCTCCCCCTGCCTATGTCTCTGCCTCTTTCTGTGCATCTCTCATGAATAAATAAAATCTTTAAAGAAAAAAAAAAAGCCCACAAGAGGCCACAGGTGATCTCCTGTGTACTTTGGATATGGGTGTACTGAATGAAGTTTCTCCAGCTTACTGCATTTGGGCAAAAGTTTTTCTATTACTAAGTGTATGCAGTGATTTTATTCAAATATCTTCATGTTAAAAAAAAAAAAGGAACCAAAAAAAGCATGTTGCTTCTTCTCCTTTGTTTTAGCTGATTGATTAATTCATTAAACATTTTCTCAATTTCTGTGATGGAATCTGTATTGTTTGGGGTTCTCTAGGGAGACACACAATAGAGTCTGTGTATGTGTATGTAAAGGGAGAGTGAGAGGAGAAACTTATTTCATTTTAAGGAGTTGGCTCGCACAGTTGTGCAGCCTGACAAGTCCAAAATCTGCAAAGGAAGCTAGTATGTAGGAGGCCAGGGCAGGATGGACATTGCAGTTCATGTTTGAAGGCCACCTGTACAGAATCCTCTCTTGCTCAGAGGAGGTCAGTCTTGTTCTGTTCAGGCCTTCAATTGATCTAAGAGGCCCTCTGACATTGTAGAGGACAGTTCTTCCCTTGCCCACCTTCCCTTGCCCACCAATTTAAATATTGGACTCATCCAAAAATACTCTCCTAGAAATACCAAGAATAATGTTTGGACACCATGGCCCAGACACATTAGCACATAAAATTAGTCATGACGGACCCAGATCTTTTTGAAGTCAACTAATTCATATCTGCCACTCAGAGGGGTTGTTGTTAAGTAGTCAAGAATGATTGCCATCCTTTTATTGAAAGCTCAAGAAAAGAAAATTCTACAATGTTCTCTATTGTATTAGGACAGTCCAATCTAATGGGGCAGATTCTAAGTACTGCTTCTAATATGCCTCTCACTAAATTTACTTGCATTTTATCCAAACAAAGCCATAGCAGCAAGTTCAGACTGCTGATTCCATCAAAACCTTGTCAATCCAGTACAAATGTCACCTTACTTCTGAGCCAGCTCTGCCCTCCCTGGTTCTTCTGTGTTCCTCTTCTCTGAACTCTTGAGAGGTTAAGTGGGCCAGGCCAGCCATTGGGTAATTACTAATGCTTTACACTGTCTGTTCTTTCAAGTGTATTCAAGTAGTGAATATCAAGTGTGAACACTCCTTTTAAATCTGTTATACCAGCATTTACCCATCCAAATGAATGCTCTCTTCTTCAAAGTAATAATTTATTCTAATGACACTGCCATTGCTTAAAGCATTTTCGAAATTCTTTAGAAACTCCCTTCAGAACTAGATGCATATTCTTTTGAATTTCTTAAATAGGGGCATAACTTGGCTCTTTGAAGATAGATTGGGAATTTGAAACAGTAAAATGACATTCACATTCGAGCTGATAATTAAGGTAGGCAATCAAGTTGGGCAATGTTATCCTTTAGCCAAAAATCAAACTATAACCATGAGGTAATGAGAAAAAAAAAATCTCCCTCATTCTACAGATGTCTGGATTTGCATTCTTGTTGGAATAAATTAATAGCCTCCAAGGTGACTCTTGTACTGAGGGCTTCAATAAATCAATCACTTGAATAAATCAATCCTCATATATTGGTTTTAAAACTAAGTTTTATAGTTTGTTATTAATTTTACATCCAAAACTGTATCCTAAGTGTTTTAGATGTTCTCTTTTTGGAACTTCTCTCCTAGCACTCATTTTATAATTATTCTTAGCTTGCACACCTATCTTCTAAGACTGGATGCTCCTTGAAAGCAGGGGCCGTACTTTAAATATCTTTCTGTCCCAGACCCACCTGAGTGCACTGCACAGAGCAGGCACTCAATCATTCTGCTGAATGAGTTGAATGAATGGATGAACTGAAAAATGAATGAATTGCTTAGATCATTGTTGTCCCATAGATTTGCATGGATCTTAAATCTTCAAAATATCTGAATTGGGCTGCAATTATATCCAGATTGAAGCCTCCTTTACCCAGAAAGATCTGTCCCCATATACTTTTCACCAATTTTAAGATTGCTCAGTATCACTTCCTTGTGACACATGTTAACAAATACATCAGCACAGTGTATATTCCCTTAGGAGCAGTTTATAAAACTGCTGAGTGAATACTGAATGAGTGAATGTATTCAGTGAAAATTGCTTTTAATTCAATGAAAAAAAGTTTTTAATTATGAAAGTAACCTTCCAGATCTTTAGTCCATTCCGGAGTGATTACTGACAGTTTTTCCTCAGTTCAACTACTTTCAAAAAAATCTTCTTTGTGATCGGAGTCTCTATTTCCTTGGGGAAGCATTTATTTTTTTTTTTTATTTTTTTTTTAAATATGCATATAAAATTATGCTGTTTTATTTTTTTTTTATAAACTAATTTTTATTGGTGTTCAATTTACCAACATACAGAATAACACCCAGTGCTCATCCCGTCAAGTGTACCCCTCAGTGCCCGTCACCCATTCACCCCCACCCCCCACCCTCCTCCCCCTCCACCACCCCTAGTTCATTTTCCAGAGTTAGGAGTCTTTATGTTCTGTCTCCCTTTCTGATATTTCTCACACATTTCTTCTCCCTTCCCTTATATTCCCTTTCGCTATTATTCATATTCCCCAAATGAATGAGAACATACACTGTTTGTCCTTCTCCGGTTACTGTGGCCAAGTTAAAAAAGGGTGTTGCCTGAGTTCTTCTCTGGGATTTTGATGGAATCTTGTCTCACATTTAGATCTTTCATCTATTTTGAGTTTATCTTTGTGTATGGTGCAAGAGAGTGGTCCAGTTTCATTCTTCTGCATGTGGATGTCCAATTTTCCCAGCACCATTTATTGAAGAGACTGTCTTTCTTCTAGTGGATCGTCTTTCCTCCTTTATCGTATATTAGTTGAGCATAAAGTTCAGGGTCCACTTCTGGGTTCTCTGTTCTGTTCCATTGATCTATATGTCTGTTTTTGTGCCAGTACCACACTGTCTTGATGAACACAGCTTTGTAGTACAACCTGAAATCTGGCATTGTGATGCCCCCAGATATGGTTTTCTTTTTTTAAAATTCCCCTGGCTGTTTGGGGTCTTTTCTGATTCCACACAAATCTTAAAATAATTTGTTCTAAGTCTCTGAAGAAAGTCCATGGTATTTTGATAGGGATTGCATTATACGTGTAAATTGCCCTGGGTAACATTGACATTTTCACAATATTAATTCTGCCAATCCATGAGCATGGAATATTTTTCCATCTCTTTGTGTCTTCCTCAATTTCTTTCAGAAGTGTTCTGTAGTTTTTAGGGTATATTTTGAGAACCATTTGAATGGTAAATGGTTCTCCAACCTTTTATTTTCAGGTTGTAGGTGTCCTTCTGTCTAAAATGAGTCTCTTGTAGACAGCAAATAGATGGGTCCTGCTTTTTTATCCAGTCTGAAACCCTGCGCCTTTTGATGGGGTCATTAAGCCCATTCACGTTCAGAGTTACTATTGACAGATATGAGTTTAGTGTCATCATGATATCTATTTAGTCCTTGTTTTTGTGGATTGTTCCACTGAACTTCTTCTTAAAGGGGAGTTTTAAGAGTCCCCCTTAAAATTTCTTGCAGAGCTGGTTTGGAGGTCACATATTCTTTCAGTTCCTGCCTGTCTTGGAAGCTCTTTATCTCTCCTTCCATTTTGAATGAGAGCCTTGCTGGATAAAGTATTCTTGGTTGCATGTTCTTCTCATTTAGGACCCTGAATATATCCTGCCAGCCCTTTCTGGCCTGCCAGGTCTCTGTGGAGAGGTCTGCTGTTACCCTAATATTCCTCCCCATGAAAGTCAGGGACTTCTTGTCTCTTGCTGCTTTAAGGATCTTCTCTTTATCTTTGGAATTTGCAAGCTTCACTATTAGATGTCGAGGTGTTGAACGGTTTTTATTGATTTTAGGGGGGGATCTCTCTATTTCCTGGATCTGAATGCCTGTTTCCCTTCCCAGATTGGGAAAGTTTTCAGCTAGGATTTGTTCAAATACATATTCTGGCCCTCTGTCCCTTTCGGCGCCCTCGGGAACCCCAATTAAACGTAGGTTTTTCTTCCTTAGAGTGTCATTTATTTGCCTTAATCTGTCTTCATGGTTCTTTAATTGTTTATCTCTTTTTTCCTCAGTTTCCCTCTTTGCCATTAACTTGTCTTCTATGTCACTCACTCGTTCTTCCACCTCGTTAACCCTCGTCGTTAGGACTTCTAGTTTGGATTGCATCTCATTCAATTGATTTTTAATTTCTGCCTGATTGGATCTAAATTCTGCAGTCATGAAGTCTCGTGAGGCCTTAATGCTTTTTTCTAGAGCCACCAGTAGCTGTAGAATAGTGCTTCTGAATTGGCTTTCTGACATTGAAGTGTAATCCAGATTTTGTAACTCTGTGGGAGAGAGGGCTGTTTCTGATTCTTTCTTTTGAAGTGAGGTTTTCCTTCTAGTCATTTTGCTCAGTGCAGAGTGGCCAAAAACAAGTTGTATTGGAACACGGGGGAGTATCACTGGTCCCTCTAGCTGGTCTTCTGGGGGAGGGGCCTGTTGCGCTGATTCTCAGGTGTTAGCACTTGGGGGAGCTGCTCTGCCCCTGCCTGCTGCCGGGCTCAGCGGGGGTTGTTTACCCCGTGGGGCCCCAGGAGGAACAGTCGCAGTTGCTATGGCAACTCTGGAAGCCTGGATTCAGCCTCCGCAGGAACTACGGGGCTTGGGCGGGCTCGGGGCTCTCGGCTCTCCGTCCGCAGGGCTTGGAGGCTCCGGGGCGGGGCCACTGATCTGCTCAGCTCGAGGCAGGAGCGTCCTCGCTGTCTCGGGCCCTCCCGGCCTCTGCCTGTCCCGGGGGAGGCCGGATCCTGGCCTGTGTCCCGGCGCCCTGTGCTCCGGGGCCTGCGCTGTGGGATTCGCGCTCCCGCCCCGCAGCCCCCTCCGCGGAGCCGCCGCCCGAGCCCCTCCGCGCCCCGCCGTGCGCGCTGCAGCCCTTAGGGAGCTCGGCGCACTCTCCCGGGGCGCAGGTGTCTGTTAGTGTCCCCGGGAGCCCGAGGGCATCCCCGCCCTCCTGGGTCCTGCTCCAACTCCCTGCGAGCCCCTTTCCGCCCGCCCGGGAAGGTTGGTGCAGCTCCTGCTCCTCCGGGACGGGGCTCTCCTGTCCTGGGGACACTCGCCCCGGCCTCAGCCCGGCTCCTCGCGGGGCCCCTCCCCCTCGGAGGCCTTTTGTTCCTTTATTTCTTTTTCCCCGTCTTCCTACCTGGATAGAAGCGCGAACTTTTCTCACTGTAGCGTTCCAGCTGGTCTCTCTTTACATCTCAGGCCGAATTCGTAAATTTTCAGGATGGTTTGAAGGTTATCTAGGTAATTTGGTGGGGACAGGTGATTTGGGGACCCTGCTCTTCCGCCATCTTGCCCCTCCCCCCCTTGGGGAAGCATTTAATATTTGATATCCACCTAAGGTTTGTTTGCACTGTTATAAAACTTATTTCATTTTGCACTAAGTTGAATAACAAATGCTTAGCCTCTTCTTTATTAAGGAACTTTTTTCCTTTTGTGAAAGATCATGATCTTTTTGAATTATTTTTCTTTTCTCCAAATGCTTCTTAGACCCATTCTTCAAAAAGCTCTTCTGGAGAAAGTAGCTGTGAAAACCCAATTCTTATTATAATTTAGTAAGTTATAAGGCAAATATACCACCTGCAAAGCACAATGGAAAGATCACACATACACAAATTTAATTGATTCCATGTTGAATGCTAAGAAAAGTTTTAATTGCACAAATACAATACCCAACATATCAATATAAATGAAGGGACAATCAGTAGTGCTATCAAAATGTATAATACAGGAAGTTGTTTAGAAAAGATAGGAAAATTATACTCGGACCCATAAATCTTCCTCATTATAAGGATATGTAGTGATTTGTTCATGCAAGTTTTTATATGTAAACAGGATTTTTTTCCTTTTTGAAGAACTCCATTGTACCTATGAGATGAAAAATGTATTGATGTAACAATGTATTGTGGTAATGTTATAGCTTTCTTATATTTTGCTTTTAGTGTTAAGATTGCTAAAAGCTTATTTAAAATACCCAACTGACATAATGCGCTTCCAGTAGAGGACACTGCCATGTACATTATCCTTCCTCTGTCACTGGTACCACATCATCTGGCCTTTTACTCTGCAGGCCACTCTGATGAGAGAAAGACAGCAAGAGAGCTCAAATTTCAGGCAGTGGGTGGCAAGGTTACTGTCCTCTCAACCTGGCCAATCCTCCACTCTCCTTACCTAGAATGTTTCTCCTAAGAATGAAACATATCTTTCAGTGAAAGATGTTCTAGGATTTTTTGTCCAGCCATGTTCACAAGAAAATAGCACTGCTAACCACCTGCTTTACGGGTTTGGGTTCAGACAAGGAGGTCCCAAGCAGAGGGCCAGTGATTGACATGGTACTGAGAGTCAACACCCAAGTCAGACTGGTCCCTCAAAGGGAGCTTTCCTGGATGCCAGGATACTAAGCAAAGCATTCAGGGAGGCAGGACTCTGCTGTTCCCTCTGCCTCTTTGGAGGAATGTTAAAAAGAAAGGCTACCCCTCCAGGCCATCGGAGCAAAGCCCTCCCTTCCTGAAGCCAGCTGCATCAGGCCTGCCGGGGCATCACCCAGGAAATGGAAGACAGGAACCTTCTGTGGGAGTAGAGGGGTTGACCGACAGGTTGAAGTGCCTGCCTCCCACCGCGTCTCACGTCCCCTCAGCCTCCTGTCCTCACATGCCTGGCAGGTAGCAGTGACCACAGAATGTTCAAGCCCATCACATAAATTGGTTAGGTGTCTCTTCAGATTCCAGGACACTTGCAACTGGCAATTCTGCCAAAAGAGCCTCCGTCAGAGATGATCTGGGTGACAGACTGCAGTTGAAAACTTCATCTATTGAACCTGAGAAAAGTAACAGGCACATTATTATCGTCACTGGAAAAACAAAAACAAAAACAAAACAACAATGACTTAAACTCACACAACATACAATGTAACCATTTCAATAATTAGTAGAGAATCCTGACTTCCTCAGAAAAACTCAAAACGCTAAACAGTTTTTTGTGTGTCTGTCTACTAGCAGGACGTGGACCAGGTGCTTTTCCATGGGCCAGAGCAGACGTGCAGACAGTTTTCTCACTTGTGGCAAAAGGCCCACAGTTGAGGAGCAGAGGCCTAGGACAAAGGTAAATTTAGGCAAAGTAGATAGAGCTGAGATGATTCACCAGGACAGAGCCAGTAGAGGCCAGGCCTGGCCTGCCTGCCAGGGCAGCTCATGCATCTTGGCTGTTCCACTTGTGGTGCATAATGAAGGCTCAGGAGGTCTTGTTGTGGAGTGCAAGTGGCCCCGGGCATGGCTCCTAGTAAACTTGCAAGCAAGCACTGCCCAACTTCACATCCTTCTTGGTTTCCCCTGGATGGCAGTGGACATCTCAAGCAGCCACACACTGAGCAGGGAGGAGGACGGATGTACAACTGTACCCCCCACACACACCACCCCCACCCCACACCCACACAGGCTGCCAAGTCCAGTGGGTGGGGCTGGAGGGACCAGGCAACCCAGCAAGTTAATCTTTCCCCAAAAGGATCAGTGTATAATCCCCCGCACGCTCCAATGGAGCAAAGCACAAAGTATCTTTGTAAGAAACAACCCCAGACAGAGAAAGCTAAAGCGACAGGAAGGGGGAGAAAGAGAGAGGGTGTTAGAAAGGGGGAGAACAAGAGGGAAAGACAGAAAGGGTGGCAGGTGGAGGAGCAAGGGAGGAGGGAGAAAGAGACTGAGGAGTCAGGGAGAAAAGGGGAAAGAAAAAGGAGTAGGAGGGTGAGGGAGTGCATGTGCGCATGCACAGGAGTAGGGGCTACTTCCAGGAAAAGAAATTCTTAGGAGTAAGCATTTTTGCTATAAATATTGGAAGGAAGCAACTCTCATTAAATATAACTAATGAAGACTCTGTTTTTTTACATCTGAGCATTTTTTATACTGCAGGTTCATAGAGTTTGGTGTGTTTTTGTTTGTTTCTTTTCTTCTTGTGATTAACCTCAAGAGTCCTGGTTCAAGGAAGTGGCTTTCGGCAGAGACTAGCATGGGACAGAAGAATGGGCTCAGCAGAAGACAAACCCAGACAAGACTTAATTGATGTCATCTGCCTTGGCCACAAAGCAGACTGGAAAGTCTCACGCACTGCTGGGGAGGAGGCCCTGAATATTAGCATCTAGATTAAAATCTGTTAGGTAAAGCATTCTCAAGAGTTATTATTTTGTGGTCTTACGAACTCTGGAGAACCCTTTCAAATATTCTTAAAGATAGATACCTTGACCATGTACAACCCTCCCCCAGCTGACGCTGTCCGTTAACATTCTGTTGCCTTGAATATGCACATCAGGAAAGGATCATTCTTTCATAATATTTAAATGAGTAGTGATATGTATTTGAACTAATAATATATTTTGAAATTATATTCTGGGTATGCTGCATGCTGTAAGTGCTCCGTCACAAAACTTTAAGGAACCTCACAAGAAAAGTCACTGTATTTCTTGGTAGCATACACTTCTTGCTTCTTACGTTCTGAATTATGTGATGTTATATTCCCCCTTTATCAAGAGACCTTTTTTTTTTTTTTTCATTTAATTGACTCTCCACTCCTGTGATATTATTCTACCCTTTCATTTAACTGCCCTCCTCGAGTACTTGAGAATTTTTAACATACCTCTAGAAGTTACACTGAATTTTCGGTCAGAGAAACTGCTCCTTCGGATTAAAGGCTCACTCATTTTTTCCAGGAATAATTTAATTGTCTCCTTCTTTTCTGGACTTGTACTTGACAAATTCAGAACTTTTCCTTTCACCTTTACAGTAGAATTGCTGAGCCCAAACCAATAGAAGAAATCAAATAATGCATCAGCTTTGAATTCATACGCAAAGCTCAAATTTTCTCCATTAACCATCTCATTTCCTGGCGGGAAAAAGTTTTTTACTGCCTCTTGAAAATCAAACTGAAAGAGAGAGAAGCATTTAATTAATGCCATGGAAATAACTATAATGGTATATTACAGAATTATATATTACTGTAGAATTATATCATTGAATTAACAACGGCCCAAGTATCCAAAATATCACACACTTTATTTCTTTTTCATTCAGACAGGTATTTTTGAACAGTTGGCTCTCATTTCTTAAAACAGACCTTTGCTTTTGCATCCTAGCCATTTGAAGCCCTTGAACTGCTTGGTTAAATTGACATTTATTGTTTCTAGATTAGTTGCTAGAAACCAAGTTCATTTTCTTGAAATAATAAAACAATTAAGCTCTAGGGACTCAGCCTTGCACAAGATGCGCAGACCCCTTTCTGTGTGGTTAACCATCCCTGGATTCAGATTGATGGAAGCTTACCTGAAGCCGGTAGCTTTCCCCAATCACGGAGGAGATGATCATGTCCATCCCTTGCTCTATCTGTCTTCTTATTTTGGGGTGCCTTGTGTTCACAAGAAATGCATATGTTCTTTCTAAAAATTAGGAAGCAGAATTCAGATAGAAGGGTACATGTGTGACATAAATATACTTCTCAGCATTTGATAAAGCAGTGATTCCTACCTTATTCAGAGATTTGATTCATTTACAACTTCCCTCATGGGCCCCTCAGACTCTCACTGCACAGCTGAACCAGATTTCTAGATATATTCCTGAGAACTTTGTAGATGTGAAGGAAGCTCTGAGATACTGTAACAGCCAGTTAGAAAGTCAGCTCCCCCAAGTGCACTCTGTCACTCTAATTGTCACAGATGACCACAGAGTACCATGGCATGCACCCAGTATGGGGTGGCGGGGGCTAAAGCCAAAACAGTCTTACTGGGTATTTAAACAGCAACTTGGTTCTCACCAGCATTTCCTCATTTGCAAAGCAGAAAATCAGCCAAGTCCAGGGAAGGAGGCTACCCCATGCCTTCTCCTCCTATCACCCATCTCCCCCCATCCTTCCTCCCCCAAAGACCTGGCATGCACTCTGCAAAAGGCTAGTCTAGTGTTTTAAAGATCAAGGCAATTTGAGACTGAGTCTCCTTTACACCCCACCCCAATACAATCCCCAGCGGAGGAGCAGTCCTTCGCATTGTTTAAATAATACTGCCTCTGCCCTAGCAAACAGTTATTTTGTTGGTGGTGGTGGTTTGATTTGGGGTTTCTTTCTTTTTCTTTTTTTTTTAAGATTTTATTTATTTATTTATTTATTTATTTATTTGAGACAGACATAGAGAGAGAGGCAGAAACACAGGCAGAGGGAGAAGCAGGCTCCATGCAGGGAGCCCGATGTGGGACTCTATCAGGGTCTCCAGGATCACACCCCGGGCCGAAGGCAGGCACCAAACCGCTGAGCCACCAGGGCTGCCCTCTTTTTTTTTTTAGTTCCTTATGTCCAATTCTATCTAATTCTATACAATCTAGGCAAAGAGGAGATTCTTTGCTCATTAGGAAATTCGAAATACTATAAGCCAACAATTTCTTACCTTTTCCAGTCCCCAGAATCAAGCTCCATGGACTTAACTAGTCAAGTGTTTTTTTCTAGACAGACACATAACATAGATGGGCACTCTCTGTTTAAAGGCTACAGACTTGCCATAATGTGATTTTGAGAACTGAACATTTTGCTTTGGCTTTGAGAGCCAAACCTGTGGTCCACCAATAATGAATCTTACATCCCTGAAGATTATATTTTGAGCTAACTTTTCCACTAGCCTTATTCATCTTATTTTTTCTACCCTTGCTTCCCTTCTCTCAAATTACCATTTCTAGGGGGTATTTTAAATATAAATTTCTTATATCCTCTTTGAGATAAGAGATAAACAAAGCAAGCAAGCTATATGGTATCTTGAGTTGACTTTCACACAAACCAAACTAAGATCTTTAGGTTCATTAGATACCAAGGACTACCACCCTCCACACTGCGCTGGTTGGGCAGGTTGTGCACTGCACAACTCTAGAGGTACCACTGACATTCATAGACATTGTCTATGCATAGTTTAACTATTTGCATAGTTACTATGACAGACCTCTGCGAAGGATTAGTAGATTGTGTTAAGTTACTGGTGGCTTTTTCTAATTTGCACAAAAGGGCAGTTTAGCAGCAAGGTTGGATGTGTTACCTCACTTATAATTCTCATAATCTAAATTTGACCATTTTAAGCTTCTGTGTCATAGAAGCTCTTGTTTCACGGCTTTGTTCACAATTGCACAGCACAAGGGCTCTGTACCTCCCTCCATGATAGTTGTCATACAACTGTGTACCTTTTGTAGGCCACCCACAAATCCACAAATACCTCCTATACCATTCCCTGCACTTTCATTAAAATGCTAAAATGGAGAGGCTCTTATTCTTTCCTAAGATTCCTCCTGAGAGATCCATGCAGGAGGTGTACTTGATATGTCTGTGCATTACATTGCTGGAGAACTCTCTGGCTTTCTGGTCATCATCAGCCAAATAACATCAGGGGCTCAGATGCTCTAACAAGCAGCGCTTGTTACCTTGTGTTCTGTTCCCAGCCCCTCCTGCCGAGAGAGCATTGTGACTGAATTACCAAGTGAGCAGAGAATCTGAATGATTCTGAATGAAATGAACAGAGAATCAACTCCACCGAATCTGAATGAGAATGAATGTTTGAGAAAGTCTATTTGGAATTTGTAGATGGTTTCTTATTACCTTGGACTCATTTTAAGAATGCTATTTAGAAGTAGAATTATGAAATTCTGTCTCTATCACAGAGCAATATGCCCATGACTTCCCCCACATAACACTAAGCAGGAAGAAGGAAAAATGGAGGCATTTCCATATTGGAACTGGAGTTAGAGTTGTTAGCAGTTATTCTGATTTCTTGGAAGAAACAATGAAGAGGTACCCCTAAAATTAGAATTTGAAGACCACAGCATGAAACATAAAAGCATCTACAACTCCTATTTATTTCTTTACCTTAGTTTCCTTATCTATAAAATGGGTATAAGCACCTCATAGGTAGGATGACTATGCATCATAGTTCCCTTGGGCCAGTGGCATTTTATACCTCAGTCCCAGCATAATTATTAATAGTAATAATTAATGAAGCTATTATATACAAAAATAATAATAATGAAATCATGTGATAATAATGAAAGTAGTTTCATGCTCGAGAATGTTCCCCCTTGGATGAAAGCCCTGCAGGGCTGCTGTGTCAATTAACGACATGAGAGTACACCTCACAAACAAAAGTGTTTGTTACGTGGTGCAAAGTATTATATATCACCATCATTCCAGTCATTTTGGCAACCCCTGCAGACTCGGAACATGATAGCACTTCCTGCCTAGACGGGGAGTATAAGACAAAACCCAGAGACAGATGGCTTTTGCCCTCAAATCATTTAAAGGTTCTGCAAGCTAGTGCTGTGCTTCAGATGGTCTAACGCTCCAGGCTTCTCGCTCCCAGCCTATTCACAGCTGACATCCACCCTGCTCACTCCATGCACAACTTCTACCTCATTAGCATGCCATAGTCCACAGCCCCAAGAGGCAGAATCAAGCCAAAAATATTTATATACCTACCTCTCGAGGTGTCTTTTTTGGTCTGTACGTTAACAAAGAAGAGCATTGGTTTGCTCAGTATAGTTTCCCTGTAGTCTTTATAATCGCAGTAGTTGGTCAGTTCCACATATCTATGAAAAAAGCAGAGATAACTGTAAACGTAATACACCCTCCCATCTAGGTCAGGAAGGGGATGTACTGGACAGGGGCCTGCCATATCCACAGATCTCACAAGGGAGGCTCCCTAAAATGTGTCCCATGGAGGCAGTCATATTTTGTACCATATAAATAAATCCCCTCCCTGGTCAGATCAGAGATCAGGATACAAGCCGAAGGTGGCCATGGTCTTTAGGGTAGCCTGGCACCAATGCTTGGCTGTCAGGGGCAGCCCTCATTAGATGATGGCCAGTACATCTATCTTTTGGGCTATAAGAGTTTATTTGAAGCAATAAGAGCTCTGTGTCTCTCCAGATTGAGAATAAATTACGCTCTACAAGTGGCATAAGTTAGGTCTTCTCCGAAGAAAATTTCCCTTTTTTTCTCCTCCCCTCTTCCGTCCTCTAATCCTGAGATAAGACCCCTGCCCCTCTATAAATTACACAATCAACCAATATTCATATGAACTAATTCATATCTCCCTGATCCTGAGATTTGTGCGATGAAGAAAAAAGAAAAGAGAGAAGAAAAGGAAAGAAAAGAAAAGAAGGGAAAGGAAAGAAAAGAAAAAAAGAAAAGAAACGAAAGAAAAGAAAAGAAGAAAAGAAAAGAAAAGAAAAGAAAAGAAAAGAAAAGAAAAGAAAAGAAAAGAAAAGAAAAGAAAAATACGAGACTAATTTTGGACTTTTGCCCATGATCCTATTCAATTTCACCTCTTTGGTTTTCATTCATTATTCCACCCTGGGAAGTTCTTTTTTTTTTTGCATTTTGACTCTGTCATTCAGCATGTCAGCTATCTCCTCCTAGTTTATGAATATTCCAAGTAGTCTTTCTACCTGCATTGTTGATAAAAAGAGAGATCTGAGTACAAACCGGCTTCCCTGGAGAAGATGGCTTATTTCTGATCCACACCCAAGCTCAGACACCACACGGACGCAGGCAGGCTGAATGGCACCCAGCAAGCTGGAGAATGTGTCCGCCACCGTCCCTCTTCAACACAGGACTGGTTCCCCACGGACAGGCACAGCTGTGCACATCTGTATAGAGTGCATGGCTGCCCTGGCTGACAGCACGGGCTGTTTTGCTGTGCTGTGGTGTGTTTGCTTCTTACATCTAGTCACGGGCAGAGACAGCTCAAGAGTCGCTTTCTGGTTTGTTATCTGCCCCGTGCCTGACATGAAAATCACAGCCTTGGAGGGAGCCCTGCTGCACGGAGCTGTGACCACACGGGCCTCTCACCCGCCCCGTCCCACTTCCCACAACCCGCTCAGAGGGCCCAGCAAACAAGACCCGACCCGGCGTGGGGCGGGAGCACGTGGGAGACTATGTACCCCTCCAAGGCAGAAAACCACAGCTTCGGCTTGTCTGTCTCCCAGCTTGGTTTCTTAGTAATCTGTATCATTATCTTTTCTCGGGGACTGTCAGACCTGATTTCGAGAGCTTTTAAAACCTGACCCCTGGTGGGGCCTCAAAAACACTTCCTGCCTTGTCTTTCACCAGGCTTTTAATATAGCCTCTGCCTCCCACGCCAGGGGCACTGGGGGTGGTCAGGAGGCTCGTCCTGGGGTGGGGAAGGGGATACAGGGCTCGTGTACTCCAGAGGAGGGCAGGGGATGCGGTTGTTCATGTTCAGGGGTGAGGTGAGGAGGGCAGGTGTTGGGAAGAAGGGTTGGGGGGGACCAGCAGACATAACAAGGAAACGGACTGTGGAAGACAATGCAGACCAGGGATTCTGTATGGTTCTTCCGACGTCCGCTCCTGCCCTCATCCTCACCTAAACACAGGGCCCAGTGAGAATGGGGAGAGGTGGGACACCTGAAGGGGACTAGCCCTCATGTTCCACATCAGCAGGGAGAGAACGTTCCTGTTCCTTTTTGTCCTAACTGGCCACCTGCCAAAAGGCGCTGAAGAAAGGAAGCAAAAGAGAAGGGCGGAGAAAGAGGATCATCATGTTTGGAGTTTATTTGCTCCCATTCATTCATTCAACAGCATTCGCTGGGTCCTGATTATGGGCTGGGCACCAGGTAGGCACCAAACATGCTTTATCACAGTGGAGGGGCTCAGGGCCTGTGAAATGGGGCTGGGGTAGAAGGTGGCAGCACAGGGGTTCCCTGTGTCCCCCACAGTCCCTCTGCCATCACATCTCTTCAACTGTCCAGGACCTCACACGGGCAGACAAGAGTGGCCCGGGAGAGGCCACATAGAACCAGTGAGGTCTGTGGTAGCAGGGAGTACGGGGAGAGGCACAGAGGAAGAAAAAAGGAAGAAAAGTCTTATGGCCACGGAAGAAGAAAAGGATGAGTCAGAATGCAGTAAACACCAACAAGATAGATGCATGATGCTGGGGCAGAGTCAGGTACCACCTGTGTCCCATCCAAGGCAGATTTTCATATTCTCCTGCCTTGTTCACCATGGAGTTAATTTATAGTCACTTAAACATTTCACATTTTCCTCAGGCTGACTCCTCTGCTCTCTCAATATCCATGGTCTGAGTGTCATTCTCTAGGGTGCACACACAGCATTGGTGTACAGCCTGTCTGGAAAATCTGCCATTCCAATTACTATTCTGATGTTGCAAATGACAGCGCAGTACTTGCCTCTGCCTGTGAGCCCAATCAACATCCAATCAGAGGGACCATCGATTTGATTCTGATGAATCCACAGCTTATAGGAAAAGATGAAAATCTCAATTTAACAATGACCACTGGTTGGGAAAATAATCAGTTTTCCCCAGAATTCTGTGGCAGGTTTTGTGGAATGCTTTGAGGCTCCAAGAGCTGTTGTTTCTCATGATCAGAGTAGGGGTATCAGGCCAGGGGTGGCGAGGGGCTTCCAGATAGTCACACAATTAGTTTAATATATAGCCTACACATGAGTCATCCTTTTCGGAGTCTGAATTTAATAAGATGCCCTGAATATTAAAACTATGCTCGACATAATTTAATCTTTCTTTGATGATTTAGAGGCACTTTTAGGATCTTAACGGGGCTGTAAACATCGACACAGAGCATGTCAGTTATCAGGATGCCACAGATATGTGAAAATGCTATTTATACAAGATCTCCGTAACAGAATTTACAGACAAGAGATTGTGGCAAGATCCCTACTTAATGAACTCTCTATTTAAACCAGGTCACAAATAAGAAATACCTTCTTAATTCATCATTCCCAGCCTCCCAGTACAATTGTTTAACACCTGGAAATTCCAGTGAAATTAATAAACATGAGCATTCTTTGGAATTCACTGTTAAAAAATTTGTATATGTAAGTCACTAAAATACAAAAAGACTGAGGACCTGTTGTGAAGTCTCACAAGTATTTAAATATCTGACATTGAATCACTGGCTTTGTTTTAAGATGAACCTTACTAGATGACATTAGAGACTATTTCATCTTTAATCATGCATATTTCTGAATTACTAATGCAAGTACTGCTTCTTGTGTGCTGGATGTTTATTATATTTGCCGAAGTTATTAAGGATGAAAAGCAAAGGGTTTAAGAGAACTCTTTTAAACTCTCATTTCTTCATTGCTTTTACCCTGGCCTCAAGATGCTTCTAGGCTGAAACTTTGGCTTCAAACCAAAGATTGAAAGGTAGATACAGTGTGACACAATGCATAGTGATTCGAAATAAGAAGATATAATTCATTCCCTAATTGACTGGCTGTATGAACTCAGCTGCAGAGCCACAGCTCACTGTGACCTTGAGTGAGTTACTTAACCCATCTGAACCTGTGCCCTCATCTGTAGAAGGGATAATAACAGTATCTCCTGTGAGAGGACTCAATGCAGTGCAAGTAATAGAGACATATGTTCTTGAGCCCATAGTAGATGTTCAACAAACATGGTTCGTATATTCAAACCTGGCCAACTCTGCTGGCCATACGGTGAAGTTCTATAAACTTGCAAAACACAATCAGGACTGTGTTCATGTGAGTGACCAGGAAAAAAGACAACATGAGCATCTGAAAAATACACGAGCAAGAGTTTCTCCGTCCTTGCTCCAATTTCTTTCCTCCATTTTTCAGTGTGGAAGGCTAAAGCAAAGCTTAATGAAGGTGATACCTGGAAGAGGAGACCAAGAAAGAACACTATATTTTTGCTTCTAGCAAATCTAGAGTGGCTGAGAGATCATTCCCCTCTGACATGCCTACCTTTCTCTGGAGGTTCCTTTAGGTTTCACATCATTTCTGGCACAATTCTTGAAAAGTTGTCCCAAATTTCCCTTGGCTCTGGTGATTTAATGCTCAGAGGCAAATAAGAATGTAAACCTATAGCTTCCATCTGAGGGTGTGTGTGTGCATACATGTCTCTGTGTGTGTGTGTTGATTTAAAAAAATACAGAGCGTGGAGCACAGAAAAAAAGAGGAACACATAGAACACTGTCCTTGCATAGAAGGTCCAGAAATTGCTTATAGCTCATAATCCTTTGCTGTGACAGTAAGCAAAAGTATTCTGCCCTTGGGAGCAAGCAGGATGGCCCTGCTGTGTTTCCAGTGTTAACTTGACAGCTTTATGTGAGGCCTCAGCCTGAGCTGTCAGATGGTTCCTTTTCTTTCACTTCCTCTCTTCCCTCTGCCCTTACTTGAGGGAAATTAAACAAAATTTTCTGATTTCTCACTCTACTGTCTGGTGACTGGAATCAAGGACACACATGTTTATCTACTCATTCATTCACTCATTCATTATTGATGGGGGGGTACATGCCCCCACCCCCACTGCCACCCTGGGTCGTGGGGCAGAAACGATGCGTTCAAGCATACATTTACTCTTAAGCACTAAGCATAGGCGCTGAGCTCCAGGGACATAAAAAAAGCAAAAAGAAATAGTCTTGCTTTCAAGAAGCATCTACTCTATTAGAAAGACACTAGAAAATGCACCACTTCGATATGAAATGATAGGCAAAAACCTTGTTGCTTAAAGCATGGTCACTGGACTATCCGAATTGGTATCAACTAGGAACTGGTAAAACTG